CTGCCCAACGATTCCATCCAAAATCCAATTACTGCTGAAATATTTCATTGTATTTTTCTTTCACAGTTTGCTTGTGGTATTTTTTCATTGCACTTCGCGTTCAATCGGGGGAATTTATTTATGGTTTTCGAGTACCGGACAAAAACTCATCCAAAACCAAATCGAATCTCTTGTGTCTGTCAAAATAGAGAGAGTTTCTGAGAGTTTCTTATTTTAACTGCATTTTTGAGGCACCAGTTTGATTGTATTGCCAATATTGCAGCCTCCTGTGTGCCTCAATTTATTGTTTCATTTGCAAATGCGAACTTTTGTGGCAAATTGTGAAAGAACCAGGCTTAATCTAATTTAATTCTTCTATAAATTGTTAGCGATTTTCTGCTACTAATAGCAATTCGAGTAAGTTATAACAGCGGTGCTTGAACATTCTTTTGTACAAAAAAAAATCAGTTGTTGAAATCTCTCTTTCGCATCTGCTGAAAGCATTTCAGCCGTAGTTTGCGCATCTGCGGGATTCAAGGAACGGCACGCTAATTGACACTTTGCCATCCGAATAAAGGCTCAATCCACAAGTCCGCAGGGATCAAGCGGAAGGGTTGCGGGGTCGGGCGGAGGCGGTGGAGAAAGTTTCGCTTTCTCCATGGGTTTTGCATTCTTTTTGCTCCTTCCCGTTCGCTGCAAGCCCTCAGGCGGCAAGTTCTGTTGCAAACATCATTTTAAGGGATGCGAGTGGGCGTGGAAGGATGTCTGACTGCGCTCATTGAGAACAAAATGAGAAACTTTTTAATTGACTTTTTCAATTACAGTTTAATTTTGTTGTAAGAAATGTTGGCACTGCCAATTGAAGTTTTCCCGAGCGCATACGAAAAAGTCCAAAACGAGAAAAAGCTCGGAAAATGAGGGCTGGGAGGGCTAATCTATCATTGTCCACTGGCGAGTGTGTGTGCGAGCAATTTGCAAAACTTCACAAACACGCACGAGGCAGCCATCACCATCCTCGATGGTAGCTTGGCCACTTTGCCAAACTGCCTCGTACACTCAGAGAAAGTGTGGGTTGCCACGTCGCTGGTTGTTTTGTCATACTGCTAGTGGAGTAGTTCTTTGGGTTTTCAACATTAAAATTAGGATCTCCCACTCCTGTTTCGGATACAAGGTGAGTCTATGACTTCCCATCCTTCCGATTTCTTCAGGTGTCCCTGCTTTCTACCGAATCCATTCGGAAAATCTAAATTTATCTGCAACAAATTTCGTTGCTCTTTCCTCTCGGACATGGGGAAAAAGGACGAGAAGCACGCCAACTATGCATAAGGATGGCCAAGTGGATGGAGAATACGGGTGGCAGAGTGGAAGGGGCGTGCTTGAGCAAGATTGCATCTTAAAAAACATTTCCTCGGAACACTTTTTATTATGCGACCGAGAAACCGGTCAAAGTGAAAAGTTTTTGCTGTTCTCGGCTTTCAAGTAATGGAACTTTTCATTAATTTGCCCTTTGCCCTCCTACGCTTGACAGGTAATTCCCCTTCCATCGAGCGTGAAAATGCAACCGGCACAGAAACTACGAAATTAGCCGCTTATGAAATTATTCGGCATTCTGCTGGCCAGCACATGATGCATTGTCTTCTGATGGTTTATTATGCCAGGGTTTTCGGGCCAAAGCGAACATGTTACATTTGTTTTGCCGGAGATAAAGCGCACAAAAAACGAACCCCGAACGGTGAAATTGGCAGCTCAAGTGGAAGGAGTCGACGGCAAAGTACCTCAAGTACTTAGTCAATGAGCTAAGAACTGTTCGATTATTTGAGATGATAAGGATGGCTAACAATTCTTGAACTGTTTGGTTTTACCTCCCCTTAAATGATTCTCCCTTTAAGCTATTCTAAACCACCCTCTTTTGTGCGATTAGAGGGTAGCACAAGGGCAATAACAGAGGTACGAGTGTGAACACAAGAAGCGAACAACAAAAGCCCGGAATAAATGGGCTGCATGGCAGGTGGAGCCCCGGGTAAAGAGCCCGGTCAAAGCCAATGATAATGGCTGCTGGTGGAGATTGCGAGCTGGCCAGTGGACTGGGGGGGCATTTACAAGGGCCACCTGGTCCGGAGTGCCTCGAATTAATCCCCGGCGTGCACTTTGGCCTCCTCCCGGCAGCCGATTTTAATTGAATAACTACACGAACGAAATGTTATGTTGTGTTGATAAGGCGATAAGATATGGCCCCGATCCCGGGGGAATCGCTTTCGGGCATTGTGTCCTCGCAACAAATCACGGGTTTCCAGTTGGATTGCCCACGTGGTCGTCAACGGGTCTACGGGTTTCGAACTGGCATAAAATAACGCACGAAATGGGGTTTTGTTTATCTCTCTGAGTTCCATTGTCGCCTCGTGCCGATTTCTTTGCGTACGCTCCACTGTTTTGTGGCTCCTGCGTCCTTGCGGCGTCACGTTGATAGTATTCGCAGGAAAAGCCTGCTTAAGCCCCGTCCACAAACGATCTGTATGCATATGAGGGGTTTTGCGGAGATGTGTTTATGGGGACCCGCTCATAACCGCAGATTGCCCCTTGATTCGAGCTCTTCCTTTTTATGCCCGTCAATCGCATTTGTTTTGGCTTTGTCTCGCTTTGCTTTTGTTTTCCAGCGCTTTGCCTTCGGTTCCGGCTTTTCCCCTGACAGACAGCCGCAGGAATGCAAAGCGAGTCCTGGCCCTCTGGCCTTCGGCAGCTGTAATCACCTCCGTGAAATGTGTGACATGCGATATCTATTATGCAAATATTGGCAGCCCGCAAACCCACAATCCTACAATCCCCTTTCCTGTGATCCGATAATCCCTGCTTTACAACACTCTGCGAGAGCCAACGTGACTGCACTCTGCATTAGGAATAACTCTTATTTACCTTTGAGAGTGGGGAAGGCTTAAATGGTTCAATCGCAATTACATGTCATCAGGAAACTAAATTCTCGCAAGCTTAGAACTATTATTTAGTGGGATTCCTTTGATTTTAATTTTCATTCCCCAATAAAGGATTTCCCAATCCAGATTCCAAAGCTCCCGCTTCTGTTTCTTATGCGGGACAAACTTTTATGATAAGCCCACCTCGTCATCAGCGGAATCACCATTATTCCCACTCCCCTTCCGGTTTCCAGCCATCAGAAATTAGAGTCCATTAATTAGCTGGCTCGGCTGGATTGACGTTTAGTTGCTGCCCCCCAGCCTTCTCCCTCCCCTGCTCTTTGAGCTCTTCACCCAGGATCCTGTGGCTGCAACCGCGGGGGTCAATATGGGAGCTCAGGGGCCGGATTGGCAGCTCGGGCGGGGCTCTTTGGTGTCCCAGCCCCTGCAGATAATTACCGCAGCATGTCAGAGTTTTGAGCAGCTCATCCCTGTTCCTGTTAGTGTTACTGTTCCTGCTGGTCCTCCTGCTCACCTCGTAGGTAATTTATCTTGGCTCCACTGGAGGCAGTGCTTTAATAGATCATTTGCTGCGTCATTGCGCATACGCCGTGTGTAACCCGCTGCCTTTGCCTTTCGAAGCTCGGCGGGTAATCCCTCTGCTCCGCGTCCTTTCCCGTGATTTCGGAGGGGAGCTCTTCGGCCCGATGGCTGTCATGTTCTCCGCAATTCCTCCCTTCGCTAGATTTTCCTCCATTTTTTGCACATCCCGAATATATCACTGTCTGCAGTTTAATACGCGACTCCATTAAATGGGGGCCACCGCCAGCGAAACAGCGAAAGAGCGAAACTCGTTGCTCGATTTCGTTTTATTTTCCACTTGCATTAAGCAGACACCGAAAAGGGCCAAGCCAAAACGTTCCGCTCTTCGTGTTTAAGGCTCGCCTCATAGTTGGCCACTATAATTCTATTACGGCTGTAAAGCCATTTTATTTTGACGCCAGCCATCAGGACAAGAGTACAGCGAAACTCCTCTGGCTCGAACTCCAGCATTTAATTTCAGCTGCTCCCCAGCCAGAAGCGTATGCAATGATAAATAAGCATGAAAAGAGTGCACATAAATTTAAGTTTCTACTTAAAGTAAGCAATCAGGAATGAGATTACACCAATAAATTGTCCAATTCGTTCTGTCAGGGACTTTACTGCTGGTAATGAATACTATTCCGTAAGCTCTTAAACTTAACGTCGCCCTAAACTAAACTTTTGAGAGCTGTAATGAAATATTAAAGTTGAGCGGGAGCTTCCCTTCAGAATGATTCATAATTCAATTTCTCCCTTAGATTTACTTTTTTTAATTTAGTTCGGCAAATATGAACTTCATTTCGGTTGCACTAACTGGAGGGTAGAAAAAATTGATAGTTAATTAAGTGAGTTTTTCCTGTAGTCGGGTGCCGAAATGTTTGTCAGATTTCTGGATCCTGGTTACCTTGCGGCCACTATCCGATTCCCCAGTCGTCTACTCCTCCTTGGCTGGCTTTCCCTTTCATATCTACTGGCTGCCATTTCGCATTTTCGTTTTCATTTTTACGCTTTCTGCACGCTCTGGCTCCCCCATCGCAGATGTCCTTGCCCTGTCACTTCCTGGCCCTTCTAACCCCCCCACCCCCTCCTAGACCTTCTGACCCGTCACCAGCCCTTTCGACCGCCCGTGGATGTCGCGTTGCCTGTCATCATCAAATTACGCCCGGCTTTTGTGGCTGGGCTTTGTTTTCGAGCAGCCGTAAAGGCAAATTAAATCGCCCTTATTGGCTGCCGCCGCCCCTACCCATTCATTTCCATTTTTTCTATTTTTAGAAATTTTGTTGTTTTAATATTTAAAATTATTATGGTAGCTAATTCAGTTTGCTTCTGCAAAGCGAAGGAAGAGTAATTTTCGAACCACTTTCGGCAAAAGTATGCAATGGCCTCCATTCGTTTGTGGTTTACTCTGGCGATAAGCCGAGATCGCTCTTCTGGCCGCTCTTTTGGTTGCGGGTTCTCTTTGGGGCTCTCCGATAAATCACGTATACGCCGCGTCGATCGCCGCCTGATGGCAGTCGCTAATGAATCGCGCGCGCAAGCAAACCTCCAGCTTTTCGCAGCGGAGGAGCATCTCCGCCTGGATGGAATAACCCGAGACGAGAAGCCTTAGAACAGAGATTCCAGAGATTGCAAACCGAAGAGTGGCGCTTAGTGCCCCTGGTCCACCACACAGATCGAGACAGAGGTCGAGATGGCCCAAGCGATGATGACCGACCGGGAGCGGGAGGCGATTGTCAGCAGTCTGACGAAGGACGTGCAGGCGCTGCGGGAGATGGTGCGGAGCAGGGAGAGCGAGCTGGTCAAGCTGCACCGGGAAATCCACAAGCTGAAGGTGAGCAAGGCCGCGGGGTGGGGAAAAGCCATCCATCGCTGTCTATCGCATCGCTTTGTTTGCTCTGTTTTTGTTTGCTGCCCCTGGCAGATAAGCAGGAGCCACCGGAGCACACTATTTTTTCGGACTAATTTCGAATTCGCTTTGTGTATCGCAGAGATACAAAAGTATCTGCAAATACACGCGCGCCGACCCCTCCTCTGCACGGAAACAAAAACGGGTGCGATCGTCTCTACATTCTTGGGAAGAGCTAAGGGCTTTACTTCCGACTTCTTTTGCACAGAGACTCTTTACCTGGTTATTGTTTTGGTGGGTTGGCAGGCAATACGATACAAGCAATGCAAATAGATATCCCACCTGGGAACATCAAGTGATATGGTTTTTCGCTCCGTGCAGCAGTTGCGTCGCACATCGTTATCTGCCCAACAGCAGCAGACTCTGCCCAGATATCAGATACACCCCACACACCATGCCTACCCCACTGAACGATGGGGCAAGGGGGAGGGAAAGTGGGTTGGGGGTGGGGGTGGGGGTTCTGAGGCTAACCCATGCCCATGAACACGCCGGCTATCTGCTAGATATTCGTATTCGTAATCGTTTCGTATTCGTATCTATCTAACGCTCTGTCCCGGCCTCTGCCTTATAAATTTTTCTTGAACCCCTGCTTTCCATCCCATATGTTTAAACTGTAAGGCAGATTTATTGAGCCAAGTGATTAGCACTTCTTGGCGAGATCTCGTCGTGCTCGGTTTTATAGAGACTTGCGACTGCGAGATACTCGGCAGCCTTCCCCAAATAATCTGGAAGCCGAAAAACGTTTAATATCCATTATTCCGCAAATTGGGGCTGTAAAGTGTGCGAGTGAGTGTCGAGAATAGGAAACGCACAAACGCAAAACATTGTGATGATAATACAAATTTTCCTAGCTCAGCGGAATTCCATACATAAAGAGATGTAAAGCTCTTCGACACTTAATTCAAACGCCGCGCGAGTGTGCGTCGCTAATTGCCGGATCACCTCCAGCTCGTACCCCGTCCCCCACCGCCCCCCACTTCCCCTCAGGTCCCCCCCAGATCCCCAGATTGCTCTGTGGCCAGACAGAGATGCAGAGATACATAACATAGATAGTTTCCACCGGGGGCAGCACGCGCGCATCGAAAAAAAACACAGCAACAGCAACAGAAACAGAAACCGAATTTGAAACCGAAACCTAAACAAAAGAGCGGCGGCAGAAAAGGAAATACGAGCGAAGAGAGTTTTTGAAATGCTAATTTCTATGCAAATAATTTGGAAAACAAGCAAAAGGTGGCTGCCGGGGTGGTAACACCTCGCCCCGACATTCGGCTTATCTTGTTTGCCCTCCGAGCGGGAGGCGGAATTGGAACTCGAACTGGAACTCTGACTAGGTCTACTTTCTGGGGAGGAACCTCGGACTCGGATTCGGATTTTTCTTGGCTGCGGTTTTATCTATGCCGTTTTTGGGTCACCCGCCCAGGGGAGAATTTAGCATTTTATTTGCGGACTGTGATAAGGCAGCCTAAAAAGAACGCACCCAATTGGCACACATGCCATGGAAATGGGTTCGAAGTCAAAGTTTGCTGCCTTCGGTTACGCACTCTGCAATTCTTGATTGACAGGCATTACTTCTTTCACGGGCAAATCCCTGGGATCTCTGCTTAACATTCGATTAATCTTTGTTTAAGATATGCGCTTTTCATTAATGGACTTTCTGGGTGTCAAATGCCTTGATGAATGTATGAGAAATCCGCTCTGTGTATTCCATCCCGGCATTCGTCATCGAGAAAGCACGTGAATGCCATTCGCAGTGGGTCACCTAATTGAGTTGGTTTCGGGTGTCGCGGGAATCACGCGCCCCATCGATTGATGCCTCCCAATTGGCGGGGAATTGGTTTCCCGACGCACATCAGTTGATGCTCCTCCTCCTTCTCCCTTCTCCATGTCCAGAGTGTGCTCCAGCAGACGACCAACAACCTGAACGTGACGCGGAGCGAGAAGACCAAGACGAAGCTCTACCCCCTGCCGGAGCAATGTGGCGAGCAGGAGGGCAGGGACCCCCACGTGTGCAGCTCCTGCGGCATGGTGCTGCCCTCCAGTCCGGCGTTCGCCCTGGAGGCCTTGTCCCTCGGCCCGCTGCCCGGCGCAGCGGCCTGCTCCTCCGCGGCCCCCGCTTCCCCAGCAGAAGCAGCAGTGCCGCCCAAGGCGATCCCCGCCGCCATTAAGAAGCAGGGAGTCTCCGCCGAGAGCTGTGTGCAGTCCATGCAGCACTCCTACAGCATCCCGATTCCCAAGTTCGACAAGGACTTCTGGTGAGTAAAGTATTCCAAATTAATAAGGAGTACATTAAAATAATAATGTGTATAAATAATTGTAAGCCTTTCTCCATATAAATTGAAAACCCAACTCATTGGTCTTCCCCAGCGACAAGCAGCAGATCAAGGACGCCATCATGGACAACGACTTCCTGAAGAACATCGACGCCTCGCAGGTGCGCGAGCTGGTGGACTCCATGTACTCGAAGAGCATCGCCGCCGGGGAGTTCGTGATCCGGGAGGGCGAGGTGGGGGCCCACCTGTACGTCTCGGCCGCCGGGGAGTTCGCGGTGATGCAGCAGGGGAAGGTGCTGGACAAGATGGGCCCGGGCAAGGCCTTCGGGGAGCTGGCCATCCTCTACAACTGCACCAGGACGGCCTCCATCCGGGTGCTCAGCGAGGCGGCGCGGGTGTGGGTGCTCGACCGGCGGGTCTTCCAGCAGATCATGATGTGCACGGGCCTGCAGCGGATCGAGAACAGCGTGAACTTCCTCAAGTCCGTTCCGCTGCTGAGGAACCTGAGCGAGGAGCTGCTGGCGAAGATCGCGGACGTGCTCGAGCTGGAGTTCTACGCCGCCGGCACCTACATCATCCGCCAGGGCACCGCCGGCGACAGCTTCTTCCTGATCTCGCAGGGCAACGTCCGGGTGACCCAGAAGCTGACGCCCGCCTCCCTGGAGGAGACGGAGCTGCGAACCCTCTCCCGGGGCGACTACTTCGGGGAGCAGGCGCTGATCAACGAGGACAAGCGGACGGCCAATATCATCGCGCTGTCGCCGGGGGTGGAGTGCCTCACCCTGGACAGGGACTCCTTCAAGCGGCTGATCGGCGACCTCTGCGAGCTGAAGGAGAAGGACTACGGCGACGAGAGCCGCATGCTGGCCATGAAGCAGGCGCGCGGGAGCAGCCAGGACGAGCCGAAGGAGCAGCTGCAGATGGAGTTCCCCGAGCTGAAGCTCACGGACCTCGAGGTGGTCAGCACCCTGGGCATCGGCGGCTTCGGGCGCGTGGAGCTGGTCAAGGCGCACCACCAGGATCGCGTGGACATTTTTGCGCTGAAGTGCCTCAAGAAGCGGCACATCGTGGACACCAAGCAGGAGGAGCACATCTACAGCGAGCGGCACATCATGCTCAGCTCGCGGTGCCCCTTCGTGTGCCGCCTGTACCGCACCTTCCGGGACGAGAAGTACGTCTACATGCTGCTGGAGGCCTGCATGGGCGGCGAGATCTGGACGATGCTGCGGGACCGCGGCTCCTTCGAGGACAACGCGGCCCAGTTCATCATCGGGTGCGTGCTGCAGGCCTTCGAGTACCTGCACGCCCGCGGGATCATCTACCGCGACCTCAAGCCGGAGAACCTCATGCTGGACGAGCGGGGCTACGTGAAGATCGTCGACTTCGGCTTCGCCAAGCAGATCGGCACGAGCGCCAAGACCTGGACCTTCTGCGGCACGCCCGAGTACGTGGCCCCCGAGATCATCCTGAACAAGGGCCACGACCGCGCCGTCGACTACTGGGCCCTGGGCATCCTCATCCACGAGCTGCTCAACGGAACGTAAGTACATGGATACTATACTTCCCGCGAACTCCCTTCCCTAATGATTCCTCTCGTGCAGCCCGCCGTTCAGTGCGCCGGATCCCATGCAGACGTACAACCTCATCCTGAAGGGCATCGACATGATCACCTTCCCCAAGCACATCTCCCGCTGGGCCGTGCAGCTCATCAAGCGCCTCTGCCGCGACGTTCCCTCGGAGCGGCTGGGCTACCAAACGGGGGGCATCCAGGACATCAAGAAGCACAAGTGAGTGGTCTAGTGTTACCTTGTTAAGGGAGTCCCTAATGAGTTGATGCCCCTACAGGTGGTTCCTCGGATTCGACTGGGACGGCCTGGCCAGCCAGCTGCTCATCCCGCCCTTCGTGAGGCCCATCGCCCACCCGACGGACGTGCGCTACTTCGACCGCTTCCCCTGCGACCCCAACGAGCCGCCGGACGAGCTCTCCGGCTGGGACGCGGACTTCTAGGCCCAGTACTTCGCGCTCGCACTCGCACTCGCTAGTTTACTTTAGGCTTTACTTACTTTACCGATTTGTTAGCAACGTAGGGGAACAAAGACACTTCAAACTCACTTGTGCTCGACGACAAAGTGGGCCGTCTTGGCCGCCAGCAGGCGACAGATTTGGGAGCAGCGCGCGATCAGGGGCTCGTAGATCTTCTCGCATCCCGGGGTGGGCTCCGCGGCCAGGCTCAGGCCGGAGGGCACGTTGCGGAAGAACTCGTCGTAGGAGAGCCGCGGCTGCCGGCCCAGCGGCATCCGGCAGGAGCGGCAGTTGCAGGAGGCCTCGCGGTGCTCGTAGAAGGCGTAGCGCGCCCGGAAGGCGCACCCGAGCAGGCTGACCTCGATGCCGGTCCGCTGGTAGACGGGCGCGTTGAACACGTCCGCCACGATCTGGAGCACGGCCTGGTGGCGGGAGTCCTCGCCCACGACCACTATCTTGGTCTCCTCGCCTCGGTGGAAGCCCATCTCGCGGGCGATGGCGCAGTGGTGCATGATCTGGCCCTCGATGAGGGCGCGCACCTCGGTCTCCGGCGCCTCGAAGTGGTGCCGTCCGCGAACGCACTCCTGGGCCATGTAGTCGATCGCGGCGTCCCAGCGCAGGGTGCCCAGCGCGATGGGCAGGATCTCGCGGTCGCGGAAGTGCAGGGCGATGTTGCCGTGGTTGCCGGGGGGCGTGGCCTCCAGCATCTCGTAGAAGCGCTTCCAGCTGCCGCCGACCACCTCCTGGCAGACGGCCTTGCGCGCCAGGCCGCCGTTGCGGAAGCAGAGCAGGCCCATGAACTCGTCCGTCCGCGTGGGGTGGCACATCACGTGGCCCTCCTCCAGGCGGGGCGCCTTCTGGAGGGGCATCACCACCACGTCGCTGGTGTCCAGCGAGAGCACGAGGAAGTCCCGCTCCACCAGCAGCCCGGCCAGCTCCGAGGCCTTGCTCCCGGTGGCGGCCACCACCATGCAGTCGGGCCGGAAGTTCCAGCGCTTCACGAAATAGTCCGCCACGCGGCCCTGCAGCCGCGACGGGGGGATCGGCCGCATGAGGCGCCTGGCCAGGTCGGGGGCACAGGCCTCCAGGCACTCGGGCGACCAGTGCTTCTTGCGGATGTCCAGCAGGTTCATGCCCGAGCCGTCGGTGTACTCTATGGAGGCGATGCCGCCGATCAGCAGCGAGGAGAGGAAGCTGCTGATGAGCGAGATGCGGGGCGTGCGCTCGTAGTGCTCCGGGCACTGGGTGAACACCTTCCGGATCTGGGGACCCGTGAAGCGGGTGTAGGCGCGACTGCCGGTGATGCTCGAGAGCTCGGCGGGACCGCCGACGGCCTGCTCCATCTCGCGCACCTGCTCGTCCGTGGAGTTGTCCAGCCAGGTGGGCGTCCTGGTCAGCTCGAAGGCGCTCTCCGTGATCTGCTCGTGGAGCCGGAAGTGCTCGTTCAGGTTGCACAGGCGCCGCAGGCCCAAGTCCGACCAGAAGACGCAGCCGTGCTGCTGCGCCGCCCCTCCAATCGAGGCCACCGAGTGCAGGTCCGCACCCTGTTGCTGCAGGCAGTCCATCAGCATGTCCAGCGCCTTCACCCACATCACCGGGTTGGCCAGGAACTCGCCAGGACCGCTGTCTGGGAGCACTCCGTTGGTGGTCCCGAACTCGGGCAGGTCCACGTCATAGCGGATCTGCGCCACGTAGGTGACCTTCAGGCTGGAGTCGAGGATCACCGCGCGGAGGAGCTGGGTGCCCAGGTGGAGGCCCAGGTAGGTGTTCCCGCTGTAGTCCTGCCTGCGACGGTGGCACATGTTCCATTAAACGAAAGTCAAGGAAGGCTAAAAGTTCTGTTGAAGCGGGAATTTTAAATTTTGGGTGGTCGAACAGGTGCTGGACAGAAATTACTAAGCAAGATCATAAGTAGAAAGGTATTTTAGTTGTAGAAGAAGTCCGGAACCAGATTTTCCTTACCAAAAAATGGGTATTTTTTTGATAGTTGCGCTTTTCTGGTTTCCACATCTATACTTTGTTTGGCTGTAAGTTGTTTCTAGCCTAAACGACATACAAATTACCATTTAAAAATGTTTTTTTTTTGCCCAAAACTAACTAAGTTTTTTTGCAATATCTGAGGAAGAACTCTTTTATAGCCTAACTACATTAGTTTACGTTACGTTTTTATTTTGTAATCATTGGATTGTGTTCTACTTGGAGTGAACTTCAAGATGACATTTTAATACCCTCTGCAAGGGTATAAAAATTATATGGTGCGTACCCCTCACAAAAAAATGCGCAATTCGACCGAAAAATGAATTTTTCTAAGTCTTCCAGAAAGTTATTTGGGTCTCTAGTTTATGTAGATTTCATGATTTATACAATATATAAAAAATGTAATAAGTACTACGACTGCTGCTGGCCAATGCGCCTCTGCTCGGTGATCTTGAACTGCAGCAGCACCACGAGGTAGGTGGCCATGAAGGAAATGTTGGTGGTGATCAGCTCGCGGTTGATGTTCGCATACCCGTCAAGATTCATGATGGGTGGGTTCTTGTTGATGGCCACCAGCAGCATCTCCACTTCTTTTTGGGTGGCGGCGTCCACAGCGGTGAGGTTTATGTTGAGCAACTTCGTCTGGAAATCCAGGCCCACCTTCCGGGAAGCGTAGTGCGCCTCGTTGCAGATTATGTACAGCAGACCCATGCAGTAGAAGACGATGACGAACAGCCCCACCTGGAAGTCAAATTTATTAAAGGCTAATACCATTTTCCGTGTGAAACCCACCTCCTTGTAGGTGGCTCCGTGGTCGATGATCTCGCTAATGCTGCCGTAGGTGGCGATGATCGTGGTGAAGAAAATCACGAGGCAGTACATTCCATACATGTTGGAGTACGCTCTTCCCAGCTGCTGCATCATGTGGCTGAGGTCCACCCACAGGTGGCGGTACTCGGTCAGCTTCTGGGCGGGCTTCTCGCCCCGGATGGTGGTCTACAGATTAAAGTTCAAAGATTACTTACCCATCTTCTTAGCAAAACATATAAGTGTTACCTGCAGAGCGTCTGAGAGCGCGCGACTCGCGGTGCCGAAAGCGTTGCAGTTGATATACCTGCGGAAACAAATAGTTGGCTAAATACTACCGGCTTGTTTGGGAAAAACCCACTACAGAACCTCACCACAGGCTGCAGAAGCAGTTGAGCATGGCGATGATGGGGTAGTAGGCGAAGGTGTACCACAGCCGGAAGTCCGGCTGCAGGAAGTACTGCGACAGGTTGATGGCGATGCTGAGCAGCCAGGAGAAGACGCAGAGCGACCAGGTGAGCGGGTAGAGGTTCGGAAAGACGATCGGCGAGCCGGTGGTCTTGAAGAACTTGTACTGGTAGTTGGTCCACATGTTCTTGAAGATGGCCACCTGGGGACCGTGCCGCCAGCTGGCCACCGGGAGCAGGAAGTTGGTGAAGAGCAGGCTGATGAAGATCACGTTGTAGATGGCCTCGTCGAAGCGCTTGTCCGGGCTGGTCACGAACTTCTTGACCCGCTCGCGCAGCACCAGCACCACGATGGTCGTCTGGCAGCTGTAGATGAAGATGGCCCACATGACCTGCTTGGAGCCCCACGAGTAGCCCGTCCGCGGCAGGTTCTTCTCGGGCGGGTTTCGGTGGATGGGCATCACGCCCATGATCTGGAATAGGACCAGAAGGCTCTTCGTCGTCTGGTAGAAGGAGTCGTGCTTGTCCAGCTCCAGCGGGTCGTCCACGGTCTCCTGCTTGCGGACGTACACCTCCTCCATGGCGTCGCCGCGGGCCATCAGCTTCAGCTTCTCGCGGTAGCGGACCTCGTCCTCCAGGAACTGGCGCTGGTTGGGATTCAGCATGGGCACCACCTTCGACGGCGGCGTCAGTCCGCGACTCACTGCCCAGAACGACATCGTGCGATCGGGGAAAGTCCGGCCAGGGCCCTTCGGCCAGACTTTTTATACCCCTGCGGCAGGCCTTGCTATTGACTTTCGATTGAAAGACAAACAATGGGGCGACACGCCCCGGAGGCGGCCCTCCATTAAGTATGCTCAAGACCAGGACAGGAACATGGGCCTAAGGGTAGCCTGCTTCCTGCAGTGCGAGAAAATACCCGACCCTATCCTAAATTGCTAATCAGTTTAACTTCATGACTTGTTTCTCCTGCTCACTCATTTTGCACATTAAAACCAGCAGACTAATATTGGAGGCTAAAGCAGTGTTTATCATACGTACACAAGGCTGATTAAATAGAGAAAGACACCTTGTGTAGCTCCGCTTTGAATAGTTTGGGTCTTTTCTCGCAGTGCCCGTTTGTTGCGGTCATTCTGCTGACACCGACCAACTGGTGACCCCGACGCCAGCAGTGGATGAGGAAGAGGGGTGGGGGAGCGGGAGGGGCAGATGGGGGCGACCGAACGGAGAAGGTACATAAAATGCGCTTAATTTGCCGGAAATGAAAGTTTAACGATGTGTAAATGCTTACGAATGCCGATAGAGGCTTGCACTAATGACCAATAAAAATGTGCCACCAACGGGTCTCCTTCCGTGTCCTTTTCTTCGACTTCTGGGTCCTTCGTGTGTGTGGGTCGGACTTTTGATCTATTTCTGCCTCAAATACCAAAAGGCCAGGCATCAATGGCTCTTAAGGCGCTTAAAGTCAGTCGAAAGTGAAGGAGAAGTCATGGCGATGACAGCGAAATAACACGTTTATGTGCAAAGTGGGCGGCCGAGAAAATGTTTGGAGTGTGTGTATTAAGACAATCAGTATAGTTTATGCAAAATAAAAGATTTTGTAGTATTCTCAACGTTGCCAGTTGTCGGTTCTGCATTGCAGCATTCGATCCCCTTCGCTTTAAATGCGAACTTTTTCAACCAAGTAAATTAAGTGAGACAACAAGTAGCCAGTCCCCCAAAGAATGCTTAAAATGTACTGAGCGACATTTAAAGAGTTCCGACGGGCTTAAGCGACCCAAAGCCAACTGTTGCGAGTTTGCACATCCCTTTTTGGCCGGAGTTTTCTTTGTTTTGGCACCGAAACTCATTTTCATTGCACATAGTTTGGCAACTCAGCTCGTTTAATGCGAAAACTTTCAAGACAAACGACAAGCGAGACAGCATAAATATAGTGTTTAGCTGGTTTTTATGACCCCGAAGTGTTCCGTGTGACATAATTGCAGCCACGAGGAGGAGGTTGGAGGAGGCGGCTGCACATCTAAAACCGCTGGCGCAGCTTCTGGTTTTGGAACGGCTTAAGGAACTGCAGCGCATCCATGGATTCGCGGGCTTTGTTGCTCCTCGTCCTTTTTGCAGGACGTGCCTTCTCGAAGTGTCACAGGAACTGAGCGAGTCCCCATGGCCGCTGGCTGTCAGCCACCATGCGGCCTTGGCGAACGAGTTACATTTCGATTTTCGAGTCCCTTGGCTTTTTTCTCTCCTTTAACGCCTCAGTTGGGCTTCAAGAATTTACTTACCAAATGGAATGCGACATTTTCTCACTTCTTTTTAAAGACAAGAAAAGATACTTCTGTGTTAAAATATCTTCAAAAAACAGTCAACAAAAAATAACCATACCTTTTCATCTGTTATTTTCTCAACTTTTCTCTCTATGTAAGCGGAATGCAAGTATCTTGTATCTTGGATTATGTAAAAGAAGGATTTACTTTTTGCAGAAAAGACTTTTATTAATATAGGGAAAGGATGAAGAACAAGCCCAAAATTGATTTAAGATTGGGCGCGAGTCCTACATTACTAAGCAGAGGATTCGGTGGTTGAGGTCGTGGCTTCAGTGGTCGATGTAGTGGTTGTGGTGGTGGTGCTGTTGCAGGGAAGAGTGCCATTAGGAGGCAGGCCCCATGGTCCACCTGGGCCACCAGGTCCACCAGGACCACCTGGTCCTCCCTGAGGTCCTGGTCCTCCTTGAGGTCCACCCTGCGGACCTCCTTGGGGTCCACCCTGAGGAGCTCCGCGTCCACCTCGTCGGCCACCTTGGGCAGCTGCCACGGCAATCAGGGCGAACAGGGCAATGATGATGAGGGAACGCATCTCGTTGGTGGTTATATCTTTCAGTGAACTGTGATACCTATTCGCCAGATCCGCCAGCCTTTTATACTCGCGCGATTCCCCACAAAGTCCCCTGCTAGACAGCTGCTTTTCAGTGACGTCAAATAAACGTCGGGTGTTTTGGGAAACCCAAAGCCAGACAAAGAGTCTTGAGCTGCTGCAAACGCTAGCCGTCCATTCATCTGTTTTCCCTGCGTCACAGAGCAGCTGCTCTTGATTCGTTTTCAATTGGCGTCGCCGTTTTGGTTGCGTTGTCTATTCAACTATTTATCACCACAATCGCCAAACGGGTGGCACGGGTGCTCTTTATGGCTGGTGGAATCGGAATCGATCCCACTGGGTTTTGCGGGCAATTCATCAGTGCGAGCAGTGGCGAGTGCAATTTATGAGTTTGCCTGGTCCTCCAAATGCAGGACCAATAAATAAATGTTTATTTAATTATCTCTGCACAGGACAGATTGCAGGGTCAGATGCACTATAATGCACTCGAAAAGCAAAGGTCTAGTTAAATCCACTTAAACAAAATGGAAAAACGTTAAAAGCCGCCTTTATTTCGTCTATAATTATCGCACTTGTTTTTCACTAGGGAAATTATTTCTTTAATTACCACTGCCATCACGAATTAAAACAGTTTATTTCGAGCTCTGTAGGCGGGATTGCACTCTGGCTAATGCAATTAAACATTAATCATACGCACTGTGTGCTCGGACCAGCAGGATACATATGTCGACGTCTGGGTTACATTTGCAGCAGTTGGGCGGAGCATCCACAAATTAGCAAATTGGATATAAACTCACTAATTGGTGCTAAAAGCAAGTGTTTGCCGCACTCTCCTCCGCATAATACTTGCATGGCATCGGGGGAAGTGATAACTCAATGTGCGTGAATGTAAATGTAGCAAACTAATTTTGTTTTGTTGCGGCTCCCCTTGGCGCTCCACCCACTTGTTCGGGGAAATTAAAATGCAAATTTCATTTCCATTGGAAATTCATCGCTTTAATGAGCGCGCTGCAATTGCAATTAAAAATCTGAACAATTGTGGAAAGCCGCGCGCCCTCGACTTTGCCCATTTTTCGCCTCTGGCCATAATCCACGGCTCAATGCGTTTGCCCTCTATAATTTGTCGAGCTTAGCTGTGTGGGCCTCATCCCAGCGGGATCTTCAAATTTTAATTAAAAACGCTTTGCATATTTTCCCACAATTGATTTTGAGCTCTGCCCAACCAACTGCAGTTGAAAAGGGGGCGCCGCGAAAACAAAACTGTTCCAATTATTCCGGTCCCGCCTTTGTCCTCGGGAATCGATGGCTTAATCAGCTGTCTATCACTTTCATGGGAAGAAGTCCATCTGCTTGGGGCGGGCTCCCTATTATGCGAGTATTTCTCTAAGCTCCGGATGCTTTTTGCTTAGGTTTTCGGTGCCTGGTAATTGAAAAGTACACAAGTGCCTAGTGCATCAATTAGCAAAGCAAACGCAGCCACTCAGCCGGCAAAGACAAAACGCAAACCGCTCTAAGGACATCCCTGCGCCGTCCCTGGGAGTCCCGACTACTGCAAGTGCATTTTATTAGTGGGCGGGGCTTGAGCCCCAAACCGAGTTTTTATCTCTGGGCAAACAGTCGCTGGTGCCGCACAAAAGACACAAAGCGGCGGGGGCTATTGTCCTCGATGGATCACCCTTCTCCTCCTCCGCGCCACATTGCAATGCAAATGCGACGGCATTAAAGGATTTCCCAACTGCCGCTTCTTGCTTCCATTTGTTAGTATCGCCGACGCCGGCTTTTATTGACTTTGCGCATTTAACTTTTAATTTTCGCCATGTTAAAGAGCTCTGGGTGGCGAAAAGGGGAGGAGGGTGAGCCGCGAGTGGAAAACTTTTTCCGTTAAATGCTGAAACATCCCCGAGCGCTTTAAGTGGTTCCCTTGTTCAGCGCTAGTAACACCTTTACTCCACTAAATGTACTCCCGTACGTGGGAGCTCTGGGGTATATTGCTTAGCTGATGGTTTGGGCCCCACAAAGTGAGTTACAATTGTCTAACTACGGTTTAAATTTGGTAATTTTATTTTGGTTATATGTGTATCTATTTATGTACAATTATTACATTAACAAGTTTATGTATATTTTCTATTAGGAACTTGCGTCTGAAGACGAGGTCTCCTCGGTGGAGCTGGCTTCAATAGAGCTGGCCTCGGTGGTTGAAGTGGTGGTGGATGTGCAGTTGGAGGGGACTGTTCCATTGGACGGCAGATCGAAGGGACCTCCTGGGCCGCCCTGCTGCTGTCCACCCTGCTGGCCACTCTGAGCTCCACCCTGCTGGTCGTCCTGCTGGCCACCTTGTTGTCCACTTTGAGCAGCAGCCACGGCAATAAGAGCCAAAAGGGCAATCAACATGAAGGTACGCATTTTCTCTTGGGTAGTTTTGCTTTGCTCGGTGGAAACTGAGGTTGTAATACCATTTTCCCGAACGCCAAGGCTTTTATATTCCAAAAGTTTCCTACATAGCCCAAAGAAATTCCCCCTTAAACAGTTGTTGCTCGTGCGGCGTCACAGAAATCAAACAAACGTCTGCGGTAATTTGGCAAAACCTAAAACCAGACACAAAGAGTTTTAGGCTTGGCCAAAGTGTTTACTGTTTACCGTTGACTAATTTACCTTCTGTGCGTCACCTGGAATTTACTTTTGATTTGTTTTCTGTTTTCGCTTACGATATACACATAAGAATGTTATGTTTACTATTTTCGAGCAGACAAATATTTACGTTTGATAATGTGGCTTACAAAGTGTTATTTGTCTTACAAAACATAATGTAGTTTTACTGTTTACTTTTTCGGACCAAAATTTGGGAATTACTTAATCATAGTACATCCATTATTTTATTTATTACATTATTTTATGAAAATAATTTATTTTCGTTATAAAAATCGAATTTTTGATGCTTGTGAAATTTAGCAAAAGCTTATTTTGGGGTGAGGAATATTCAAAATACAAGATATCCTTAGAGTCGCTAAGCTCTCCTCCTGCTCACTAACCTTGTTTTCCGCCGTGAAATTATTTTCACACGAAGCATTTTAGAATATTCCTTGCCCGCGGCGGCTTCGCCATAGAAGTGGAGTGCCGTGTAAATATGGCAGATGTGCTTCCTCATTTCCCACGCCGAGTACCCAGCCCACCTCATTTCCATCCGGATCTGAGCCCAGGATGACATGAAGAGGCTTGTGCGCATTTCGGGCTCAACTTGGCGGAGCCCACGCGGCGTATACTTAACCGGCGCTGCCTGCATCCACTTTGCGCCGCTTAATCGGCGAGAAGAAAAAAGAAATAAAGCCAAAATGAAAGCGGCAAAAAATAGATGCCAACCAGAGCCCGACCAAGCTGCATGCAATATTTATGATTATTTTTTCAATTTCACTTCGATCGCTTCGGCCTTGGAAAATTTCATTTGCTGCATTTCAGCGCGACTGCTGCTCATCCTGATTTTCCGCTTTTGTTGCCGCCGCTGCCACGCTGCCGCTGCTGCAGGAAGCCAGGATGTGTTTTCCTTTCAATTTGTGCAACTAAAATGTAGGAAGGGAAGGTAGAGCTCAGTAAAGCAAAGCGGAGACTTGACTCAAGTTGAGTTAAGTTGGATAGAACTTCCTGCTGCGCTGACTAAAGCACACAGAGAACAATCAGGTAGTTGAAAACGTAAAGGACTCTGCTTGAAAGCCCTCAGTAAGTTGCAAGACTTTTAAAGTCAGCTGTTGTGGTGGGATTTTGAAGTATTTATGGTTGGTACATGTTTTCTTCTTCTCGAAAAGGCAAGACTCCGAGTGGATTAAGGAATTTAATTTACCAATTACGAGGCAAACAGGTTGTACTCAATAAGATGTTGTACTTCTTAAGTGGTGCAGGTAAATGGGGAACCGAATACCATAAACACTTTTTCTCTATCTGCTTCGGCAAGGGGCAACTAATTCCACCTAAGGATAATATGATTTCCCTGCTCCTTCCGGTCCCATCCACTTTTTAGCCCCCTGCAGATTACATTTGCTACTTTGGCATTTCTGCGTATGCTTCTGTACTTTTGCAGTTCTTTCTCCTCCGAAAGCGCGAGTTTAGTCGACTGCCAACTCATGTGAGTGAGTGTGCGAATCCCCGATCCTCCCGTTTGCTCCTGATGAATGGTTCATGTGTTTCACTAACCAATTTGCGCTTTGCGCACGACGTGATTTACAGTTCCCCAGCGAGCTGTTTTGCCTGCTCCACTCGCCGCACCCGCCCCACTCGCCCAACTGCCCCACTTGCCACAAACGCATGTGGCAGCTGGCTTAACCCACCTGTGCCCCCAGCAGATCAATGAATCAGAAGCAAATCAAAGCTAGCCCGACAATCAGTTGATTAGAAAGTGTTTTCGTGAAATATAACGTTTGCTTCTGGTGTGTGAATTAGTAAATTATTTTGTATTGCTTTATTTTGCAATAGATTTATTTTCTCCCTTAGTGTAATGGCAAGGTATATTTTTATTTGAAAATAAAATCTCTGCCTTCAGTGGGTTAAGCTCCACCGAAGCTCTGTGGGGCTTTACCCAACCCCAGCGTCCAGTCAATGGTTGGCTGCTTTAAAGCGCTTTTGCACTGCACTTTGCTGTCCATTTTTCGGAATGGGGAATGTAAATCAATTGATCATTTCGCCGGTCCACAGCTGACGGCCTTCCCCCTCTCCCCCCTCCTCTTCATTCACCCGCCCCGTTGGAAACCCTTCCCCTCTGCGGCAAAACACTTCAGTGCACTGAAAAGTGGCCGCTTCGCTAAGCAGCGAGTGGATGAGGAATACTTTGTACTGCATTTCATGAGCCACTGCATATGCGTTTTCCCCCAGACTTTTCCTCTGCCATTTTACAACTGCTGTTTGTCGCAGACTTCGCAGCCGGGAACTGGAGCTCTTTTAGTGGCAATTTGCGGGGACTCTCGGGGGAAGGAGATGGAAATGAGCAGCATTCCTGGGATTTGCTTTTAAGTGGTTCTCAGCAGCAGCGCACAAAAAGTGTTGCATACTTTTTAGCGTTAATTGCTGCTTCAGGATAGCTCGAAATTATTTTTGGGGATGCGCAGGAGCAAAGTTAAACGATTTTCATCAGGGGAAATAGTTAGGCAATGGTTTTCCATCTCAAACGGTAGCAAAGTGTAAAACAATATAATTTTCTTGCAAGAATTTTTTATTTAATCAGGGTTAAGGAACAAAAGACAATACAGTTCGTGTTAAACTATGAAAGGCCACATTCTAGGATGAAGACACCTCAGTGGTGCTGGCTTCAGTGGAGCTGGCCTCAGTGGTTGAGGTTGTGCTGTTGGAGGGTACTGTTCCATTGGAAGGCAGGTCCCAAGGACCTTCTGGGCCTCCCTGCTGCTGTCCACCCTGCTGGCCATCCTGAGGTCCACCCTGCTGACCACCTTGCTGGTTTTCTTGGGGTCCTCCTTGCTGGGATCCTTGCTGGCCGTCCTGCTGACCACCTTGTTGTCCACCTTGCTGTCCGCTTTGAGCAGCAGCCACGGCAATAAGAGCCAAAAGAGCAATCAAAGTAAAGGTACGCATTTTCTTCGGTAGTTTGGCTCGCTCGGTGGAAAGTCGGGTTGTGATGCCTTTTTCCCTGCGCCAAGGCCTTTTTATATTCTCAAAATGTTTTGTTTTGTCTCATAAGTGTCCTCAAAAACAGCTGCTACCTGCTATTACGTCACTTACACAAAAAAACTTCTAAGCAATTGGAAAAAACCGACTAAATGCGTTTAAAGCTCGTGGGGTTTGTCTTAAAAAAACCAAATGTTTTACGTTGACTTATTCGTTTACATTTTAGCGTTTTAAAGCAGCTGTTGCTTTTTTTCGGTTTTTATGTGTATTTAATTACCATTTTCGATGGATATTTTTGTTACTTTGAGCTTGCAATGTAAACCCTATACTCATAAATTAACACAAGTAATTTTCCGGGTTGATTCGCTTTATGAAGACAAACCTGATAACACGAAAAATATTGACTTTGGGAGGTAAGTGCGAAATAGAGAGGAATAGAAAAGCGTTCATGCCTCACGGCGGGAATTTAATAAATTAGTGAGCTATGAACTTCAGCATCTCTGGCATCATAAATCATCTCAGGGCCTAGGATTTTGAGTCCTAATTATCGCCGGAGCCACTGAGCCAAAGCCTTTGCTTCTGTTCCCGCCTCATCCACTTTCCACTTTCTCCAGTCAAAAAAACTTGACGAGACCATCCATGACCAAAGCTAATCACGAACAGTGGCCCTTGCGAAACAGAAGCCAAGCGCAAAAGATTTGGCCACGCATAGATGTTTTCTGGGCGGCAAGAAGTGTTTTTTTTTGTTTAGAGGGGAGTGATTGGGGATACACAGGCGTCTGGGATTGGAAAATGAAGACTTGATGCCTCGGTGGCAGCAGCCGTCTTTCAATTATTTTCGCCTATTTGTCCTCAGTTCGATTTTGTGTGTTCGCGGAGTTAAAGCGGTGAAATTGCAGCTGAAATCCGTTTAAAGATATCTGAGGGCGTGTGCTGATGTAAAAGTTTGATTTTAATTGAATTTCTCATTTTCGGCGGGCCTATTCAGGGGCTTTCGAAGCGGGTCGTGACGTTGGCAAATTCAATTTGGCGCTAAATGAGCTAAATGCGATTAAACTCGGGCAGACTGACTGCGCAGCTCTCCCCACACTCAGTGTGTTGAAGTCGAAGCCTTCTCGCGGGCCAGGATGTCGGTCCACAAGGCCCAAAACACAATTTCCACGGGTCACCAAGGCACAACCGCACTTGCGGCATGTGTAACATATGTCAGATGGCCAGACTTGGCCTGAATCAATACAATTGTTTGGCCCCTTGGCCCTTATTGTCCTTGTCCGAGGGGCGATGTCAACAAGCAGTCACCAAATGAAGAAAACAATAAGCTGGCCGACTTTCCTCCCTTTCGAAGATGCTTTGCCCTATAAACTACTCAGGACAACAAAATATATAAGCTACCGGCTAATATAAAAAGCAATGAATGGCAATATAATTGCTGGGAAGATGTAATTCCTAAGTCTGTGAGAAGTGCGCTCGCAATTATAAATGTAAATGCTTCTAATCACTTTAACCAGGAAAACAGGGGATACACATTGCCAACTTGACTTTGGGCGGCGAAGGGGTAATCGCTTTGCTTACCCTTTCTGGGAAGCCATCTCGGAGGACCTTTGCATTTGCATCTGGCTTGAGAAACGACCGACAACAAGTTGTTGGGCCCGCTCCCTAAATCCTTTTTGTGTCTCCGCCTTGGGCTTTTGCCAATTGGCGCCGGAGGACAATGGGGTATCCAAACTGAGGGGGAGGACCGGCAGAGAGCCAACAAGCCAGAGAGTTAATAAAAAGTTGTCGTCGAGCAAGTTTTTCTGGTCAAATCTTCCCCGGAATTCGCTCCCTCGCCTTCGTTGTTTTATGGGGCTTCGGATTCAGCGGCTGCAGTGTCAGCATTTCTGTCGCTCGAGCTGTTTGTTGGTTCTCCACTTTCCATTTTCCACTTTCCACTTTCCACTTCGGATTGGTGGCTTTATAGGGGTGCTACTTGGCCTGTCGAGCGGCACTGCGCTTCTGTTTTCCGTTTTTCTGTTTTCCCGTTTTTATTTGCATACAATTTGCCAGTTTATGGCCGTCAAGAGCTGGCTCTGGTTTTTCAACCCCCCTCGCCCCGCTTGGCCCTTCGTCGGCAAATATATGTTATTTGTATTTATTGATTTCCAAGTGAAAACATTATTGAGGTTGGCCTCGGCTCGGTCATGAAAATTGTTGCGTACCCAAAGCAAATTTGCCGTTGTTGCAGCCCTCTCGTTGAAAATGTCGAACAACAAAAGGACTTCATTATTATTGGCTTCACTGCGTGTCTGTGTGCGTCTGTGTGTGACTGCCAGGATGCCTGGCCCATCGTGAGCTGGCAACTGATTAAATTGAATTTCATATGCAAAAGGTGAAACTCAATCAAGAAAACATAAAGGCGCCGCACACACAAAACAAAATCTGCGCACTCAAATAATTTGCAATGGACGGTTGGTGAAGCAAACGCTGTTTTAAAATAAAGGTAAAGAAAATTATTGCCAGGCAAGCGAACCTTTAAAAATTAGCACTTTAATTATCAATTGATGGATGAAATACATTCTTTTTTTGTACGTTCTTCTTATGATCTTGGAGATGGCTGTAAGACTGCCCACTTTTTTCTTTGTGTGCAGGTATTAGTGGCCGGATCTATCTGGATGTGTGTGTATGTGCGAGTGTTTGGATTAACCAAAGCCAAGGCAAGGCTTTGCGGCTTTGTTGTGAGGCAGTGATGTGCTCCACCTTTCGAACTTTCGCACCACCCACCGCCCGCCTTTCACCTTTGTTACCTTTGAGGTTGAAATTAATTCCAAAATGGAAATTAAAAGCCACTCGGCCAGAGGAAAAAGAAAATGCCGATAGTCCGGGAAACCTCAGTGACTCGCACTCGCTTCAACAGAGAGTTGCAACTTTGAGGGCCATTCTAGGGATTCCACATGCCCCCTTCCCCACCCTTCAGCCCCATTGAATCGAGGGGTACTTAAAAGTAAAAGCTCTGTTCGCTGGCCCGTTGGTGTTGGCTTTATGCTCATAGCTCGCATAGGTGATAATTTCATTTGCCCAAATCAAAACTTGAGACTGCTACACACATTCGCAACAGCCAACCTGAGCGCCGCATACAGGGCTAATAAAATTTTAATGAAATTACGAGTGCCCCCTCAACCTGCCTCTTCCGCCCTTCGACCCTTCTTGTAATAATCACGACCGAAAATTTTATGGCGTCTACGTGGCAAAACACTGAGCCACCGAACGGCGGAACCGCCGAAAAGGGGAATCAAGTGGAGCATAAAAGGAGCTATTAGCCGGCATATTTTTCCCCATTTCCCGCTCCAAATCGTTCCCCGCAATCCCTTCCCCGCTCATCGCCGACTCTCGGCGTGGAAGGCACGCACATTGCGCCAGTACACTGCTAGAAAAATATGTGAAATCATGCAGATTGAACTTGTGCTCAGAATAAAGCATAAAGGTCAAGAGAATCACCCACACTTTCATGAAGCAAAAAGTTTCACTGCACTTCGGGTGATTACCTCATCATCCCGATTATTGTTTACCGAAATTGCAGTGTAGAAGTCCTCGTGAGCATGTAAGTGTGTGGGCGTGGCATCGCCGGTGTGTGAGTGAGTGTGCATTAATGATGCATTGCATCTGCCATCCCGCGTGCCAGCTTAAAACGGTTCGCATCGCTTAATTAGAGGTGAACTTGGGGCGGGATCAAAGGGAAGTGCGGGGCACGTGCACTTTAACTGACTTCTTGTCGCGTAATTGCAAAGAAACATAAGTTTTGATTAAAGTTTCGGGCCAACAACGCGAAGTTTACACCCAGAGATGAGGGGATATTTTCGGCTTCATAACTCGTTTAGAGGTTACTATTTCAGTTTTGCTCTGAATTTTAGAAATCGCCTCGTTTCTTATCGTTTTGTCGTTAAAACTTTACCTTTGCTTTATGTCCAACCGTAAAATGAGGATGTCTCTGAAATGTGTCATAAACTACCCATCACAAGCGACTAGAAGGACCATCAACCCCATGTGAAAATCTTTTGGTATTCGATGCAAAAGCTAACCCTTTGTGGACCGCGCTCATCTCTGCCTCGCGCATTACGCATACGCCCCGTGAACGCGGAAAACTTTCCCTGCAGTGACGTCTAATTAAAACTTATTTTCGCAGTTTGCCAAGACAAAGGGATGGCTCCTGGCCTCCCACGGCCCCATTTTGGCGCTGCAGTTGTTGTTGATTATGTTGACGCCAATGGAAATATTTATCAAGTCATCGTGTTGCAGGTGGGAAATATGGCGTGCTGCTGCTGCTGCAGGCAAACAATGCAGATTACGCATACGCCATGTGCTGCATGTGCGGAGCGACGAGGAGCGTGTCAAGTTGCGCTGCCCAAAAAGTTAAATGAGGCGTGGCGAAGCGAAACTTTGGCGCTGATTTTGACACGTTTGGCTTAGCTTTTCACCTGTCCTGTCTCCACTAATTAAAATTTGAGAGCGTGGGCAAATGAAGTGGGCAAGGCGGGTTAAACGAGTTTCGCTTAGTGATCCATAGCAAGGCTCGATTTAAGTTCCGAGCTTCCCTTCCATAAATAGACCAATAGTGGTCCTTCCAACCCAGAAGCCAGAAGCCCCGGGCCAAACATTGCGGTGGCCGGATCCGACTGGGCGACATCTAATGACCGCACGGCTCGTTTGCTTCATTTGCAGAGCAATGGATGCACAACCGCAAATCAAACACAGAAGCTGGGAATCCGGCGGAGGAGGGTCGGCGATTCAGCCACCATGGGAATCGAGAAATTTCCCAGAAAATGTTTTGACAGTTGAACTCTCAGCTTGGTTATTCGATCTGAACTCTTTGGCAGCTCGGATTTGTGCTTTTTCCTCGGATGGCAGGTCAGTTCTGTTCCGCTTTCAATAGAAATGCAAATCAGATTCCGGTCCATTTCGAAGTTCCCAGACATTTACAAGGTAATCTGGCCATTACGAGTGTGGTGACAATTGGAGGAGCAATGTTTAACTATTTTTTGGATTAGTCAGGACTTGATGGGCGTTACTAACGTTTCCTACACGTTTCCTAAATAGGTCGAGTGATGGAAGAAAATCGGACTGCTATGCATTAAGAGTTCCCTGTAGAATATTCACACTTTAGGTATTTCACTAGACTGTTTGGCAACTTCTACGCTAGAGGTTCAAATAGCTGATTACGAGTAGTTTCGAGCATGGGAAAAATCTGATAAATACTAAATCCAGTTTGCTGCACATAGACGTGATTTCCAATCATAATGAGGATGAGCAGATTGGACAGCAAATATTGCCAGATCTGAAGGGTTTGCGAATGCTTAAGCGAATCCTTGAGTTTTCTCTTATTTTGTGGTTCATTACGTTCCGGAGCGCAAAATCAACGCTGTCTCGCTTCTCGGCATCATCGTCCCCGAAGTTTGCATTTGGCTCGAACATACTCGATAAACTCGAGCGTAGACACGTACGCCAGTTGCTCCTTCCGCAGGACACCCTTTCTCCCAGATTTCTCCTGGCTTGGCTGGCTGCTCCATCAACAGTTTGTGGCAGCTTGTTGAAATTAATCATTTGTCTGCCAAGGCGAAACCAGCGCCTCGCTCTTTATCTTTGTTTTTGGGAGTATTTCGGTTGTATGCTAGATTTGGCAAGCGCCTAATAATCTCAGAACTCAGAATAGAATATAAATGGAATACGTTTAATGATAATACTTGTTTTCACAGTGGAAAATAAAATAAAATTTGGTGTGAGAGATACTTATTAATTGGTGACCCAGTGAGATGATTTATCACAAATCGTAAGTCTGCATTGAGGCGGACTAAATACCTTGAACCAAGTAAATTGAAAGGACATTGCTAAGGTATTTGAATCTTGGGTTCCTGAGTTCAGACTCACAGTTTCCTCCATTTTGGACCCCATCTTCCGCTGCCAACCATAGCAATCAGTTGGCAGCCCCGACCTTCTCCCTCCCATCTGTCGCCATGTTGCTACTTCCGTTTCCGCTTCTAGTTGGCTGGCGTGTGCGTATGTGTGCAGTGTGTCAACAACATTATGTTATTTCTTGGGCAGACGTGCGCGTGTGTGAGAGCTGCCATTCCACTCGCGTAATTTCCCATGGTAGCCGAGCAAGTGAGTGCAACCTCCTCCTCCTGGCAGCTGTATCCTGTCTTTTCCAGTTGTCGCGACAATAACTGCTGCGAAGACTTCCCTGCATTTGTTTACAGCTCGCTCATAATAAATTGCAATCATGCCTTGAATGGCAACAGCTCAACCACGCGCCATCTCGCTGACTCTGATTGTATCTGGCGGAATTTGCATGGGAACTGCTCTGGCTCCTCCTCACTTCTCCACCTTCCCAGCGCCACTGGAAAGTGTTCAATCAGCCACTCACTGGGCTAGAAATCCGTTTTCCGCTACTAGTTTCCCATTTCCCGCTTACCCGTTGTCGTTCGCGGTGATTCCCTCGCCGCGATTCCCTGGAGATAACCAATTAGAGCGCTTGTGGCCTGCCACCTTTCAATCCAACTCCACTGCAAATAAAAGCGATCGCAAAGTTTAATAACAAAATCAAATCCCTCTTTTTATCCCGAAGTACGGATTGTAGGTTATCCCATGTAAGAGTATTCCTTATTATAATTTGTTACTAAAGTTTAGAGGAATACTTACTTAAAGCTTCACCTGCAGTGCATGTGTCACAATTAAAAGTGCGAGTTGTCATCAGTGCGGAAAATCATTTACGTTGATGTTTTTATGCCTGATTGAGCAGAAGGGGGATGGTGGGATGGGGGGATGAACCCAGAAGACATCTCAACCGTGTGCGAGCATATTTTGTCATTTTCATCGCTGACAGCAGCCACGTAGCAAAGGGAAAAGTTGGGAGCGGGGCAGAGAAGGGAAAACTTTTTGGCCAACATTTCGGCATCGCTTGGCTTTGGCTTTCCCCGAAATCGCTTTTCCTCGCCTTTCCCATCTCGGTGCCGCTGGCTTGTTATGTGCTGCTGTTTCAGTTCACTCGCTTCTTTGAATTACAGGCAGAGCGAGGCAGGCAAATTTATTGGCAAATTGGGAGCACAGTGGTTTCCTTTCATTTCTCCTCCTTTTTTCTCCCTCAGAGGGGAGTGTGTGTGTTCCCTCGCACTTGAGTGTATTTTTTACAGCTTGCTTTTTGTTTATGTTGTTTTTATTGATTGAAAATAACTTAGTGCCGTTTTATGTACCACCTCCCGAAGGGGGACGGGGGAATAAACTCGAGCGCTTTATGCCAAAGGTAAATAAAGTGCAAGACTTTCGGGGAATTGGTGAGCTCCCCACCTCGTGGGAATCCTTGCAGACCCGCGGGCATTGTTGGCAGCCAAACGAACGCGTTCCCTTTCGGTGATAATCCTGAATAATTAGCGGGAATTGGCGCGTGGCTCCGCAGAGACTCCGTCGCATCAGGAGAGATCTGCTCACTTAATGCAGTTTGGCATATGCGCAAATTGCCTTTGGAGCGGGTGCTAATTAAGTGGGCTTTGCGCCCGGGGGCTCAACACTAATGAACCGACCGCAGGACCAGATTGCCAGGGCAATCCCGCCCAACCGAGGGAGCCACCGAACAGAACAATGTGTGCCCTTTTCGGCGCGTGGGATCAACCTGTTGACCCCGCTGCCCATTTGTCAGTGCCTCAGAAAAACATTGCCAGTGGCGGAGGCCACTGGGCGTTTGAGGGGCGAACTACCATATACCAACTGTAGTAGTGACATGTGAAAAATAGTGCATTAAAACCGTAAAAAATAGGTTAACCACTTCCCCGAAGAACACTGGTTTTTCATTTAATCAATCACAAACAAACACCCCGGGAAATTCATCCTTATATCGCCACTGACCATGTCCCCATTTTTATTCATTTCACTCGGTCGTCCTCCTTTTTTTCGAGAGCCGTCTCCGACACCGACTTGACCATATTAATTAGCTTGATTAAAATTAATATTTGCGCAACTTTTGCGACGCCACAAAATGTTGTCGTCGGGCTGAGAAAGAATGGAGCGAATGGCAGCAGCTGCGGCAAATATGTGCAATAAATAAACATTTCGCCGCTGTGACAGGCCTTCGGGCAAAAGGTACTCCAACTGTAATAAAGCAAATATAAAGGCAGCCAGCTCCGTTTTATTGAGCGGAAGCGGAGCACGACCTCCGACCCCATCCCTGCAAAGCCTGACCCCTGACCTCCGACCCCCGACCGCCGACCGCCGACTGAGAGCCAAGTGGCAACAAAGTGCGCGGGGATAAATCCTGGTGCGTCAGCGTGGAATGATGTGGAGCGGGGAAGTCACTGAATGGAGCCATGAAAAATGTTGGCGTATTCATTCCACCCGACTACGAGTGTCACCATCACATCTATTTTCGTGCAGAGAGAACAAATTCACTTACAATATACGTAAGAAAGGAGATGGTGCATAGTTAAAGCACCATAAGTTCCACTCTCGTGTGACATCTCTTACTCTCTAAGTCATAATCAGCTTAAGCAATCCCTGGCTAATATGAGTTTCATGCAACATTTTATTTATTGAAAATATTATTAAAGTATCTGGCTACTAGCAGTTTCTCCAAGTGCCTCGTTGTCGTCGCTGTTTATTTGGCCGATTCCGTTTCATGTGCTTTTTGCTTTACGAGCATAAAGATAAATTCACACGCCACCAAACCCACGAGGATTTGCGGAGGAGAAAGTGCAGGAGCTCAGGTTAGGTCGACCGCCCGCCGTTTTCGGTCATCCGAATTATTTATTTATTTATGGCAACAAATTGCAGCGTCAACTTAATCACCGAACTCTATTAGTTTCGGTGGCCATTGTGCAGGATCCGCCGGGCGAGCTGGCAAACAGGCCAATGGGCCAAGTCATTTCACGGCTTCGTACAAAGTCATTTCTCTTGGCCCGCCCGACATTTGTATCTGTATCCGAGTCCGAATCTGCAGCGGTTTCGGCTCCCCCGAGGCGGCACTCAATAAAACAAGTTTAATTAATTAATCATTATTCTGGCTTGGCATTTCTGCTTGGACTTTTCTGTTTATTCAAGTTATCCGAGTGGAGGGGTGGTATGGAGTGGAGCGGGGAGGGGAATCGAATTGGATTACAATGCTAAAACTTACGGCTTAGTCTCGCGCAGCTCTCAAGTGTTTCGGCTTTGGCCTCAACTCCCCTGCACTCCTGCATGATTCATGGTTCGTCTGCGATGATTAATCATGCTGACCGCCTGCTACCCCTACTCTACGCTGGATCTCGGCTGATGCCAAGTCTAAACTTTTAGTACGATACTTAGTATTGCTCACTGGATACACTGTAGATACGCCGCAGACTCGGCCGTCCTGCGGCGGCACAACAACAAGAAATCAAACGCTAACGCGGAGCTACTTACTCTAATAGGACAATCAGGGGGACAGGACTAGGGAGCGGGTTGATCACAACAGGGGGACTTGGAACTGACTGAAAAGCTCACCTACTTAACCTAGAAGCGGGGTGCTCCGGGCTCAGGGCCAAAACACATTGCGGAGGAGCTTCTACACAGAGAGATGAGATCAGGCCTACAACTTTGTTCGAAAGACCTACACTTTATCCTAACAATTCCTAAGAGATTTTGAGAAAATTAAAACAGCGTTCCATATTGTGAGTGGAATGCTTTATAAATAATATAATATAACATATCATCTTTTGGCATCCCGAGTTTGAAATTTATCTAGTGATGAGAGTTTTTAAATTTACAGATTTTAATTTCCATAAATGTTGCTACTCTTAAGCTACCGTTTTCTCTGTGTAGCTGATTCTACCGAGCTCAAGGGGGTACTAACTATGGGTAGCTAACGGAGGAGGGCTCCTATCGTGACTTATCTAGCATTTACCCTAATGCGTTTGATTGCTTTAAGCTGATGATTGGTCAGTTGCACACGCGCTTTTCCGGGGGGCAGATTCCGAGGGCGTGTCGTTAAATAATTGCTTGGTGTTTCCCTTCTAATTGACGAGGACTTGGACTTGGACGTGGACACTGGACAGTGGTCAGTGGAAAGTGGACAGGGCGGGTAATCTAATCCAGGCCGTTCGAAGGAGCCTCGGTTTTGTTGGGCGCCGGCTGCTCCTCCTCCTGGGAGTCGCCGAGCGAGAGTCTCGACTTGGCCGCCGTCTCCATGGACTTCCAGGTGCCGCCGCTGGTGGCGTGCTGCAGGGAGATGCGGGGAATGGACTTGCAGCTTCCCAGGACGGAGCTGCTGTCCCCGGGGCGGTCCTCTGACTCCGCCAGAGCACTCAGGCTGCACGTGGGCGGCAGGATGCGGTGGGGGAAGCGCGGGGAGCCGCGCACCCTCTCCCGCAAGCTGGGCGCGGGTTGCACCACCGAGGGCCGCCGGTTGCTGGGCAGCTGGAAGTTCACCTTGGTCTCCAGCAGCTTCACGTACTTCCCGCCCTGCTGGGGATCCGGCTGCCCGGCCCCCGAAATCGTGGGGATGGGCAGGAAGTTGGGGTCCTTGGCCAGGTGGTCCAGGTGGGTGCCGCTCTTGGTGAGGGAGCCCCGGTGGATCGGCTTCAGGTGGTGGCCGTTCGGGTGGGGCGAGGCCTCCACCTGCGCGGAGTCCTGGCTCGGGCTGTTGTAGATGGCGTTGCAGGAGGCGGTCTGCGAGGAGGGAATCAGCCGGGTGAACAGGCCCATGTGCGACTTGAAGGCCGCCTTCAGCCCCTTCTGGTCGGCCAGGCTGGCGGTGGAGCCCTTGTTGCTCGAGGTGGTGCGCGAGAAGATGCCCCGCAGGCGGTTCATCAGGCCCGTCTTGTTCTCCGTGGCCTGTTGGTGGGCCAGCCGCAGGTTGATGAGGTCCTGCGCCGGCAGGCAGGCCTCCTCCAGCTGCGGCTGCGAGGCGAAGGTCACCGAGCGGCGCATGGGGATCTGCATGTACTCCGCCGAGGGCCAGCTGGCCCGCGGGATCACCGGCGGCAGCACGGAGAGCAGCAGGTTCGGCAGGATCCCCGAGATGCTCGGTGTCCTCGCCTTGCTGGCGGCCGGGGTCTGCGAGATGCCGCTGGTCACCGTCAGCTCCGGCTTGAGGTGACCCCCTCCGGCCAGCAGGGAGGTGGAGGAGGAGGTCGTCGTAGAGGTGTTGTTCAGCCCCGCCTCCAGCAGGCGCTCCAGCTTGCGGATCTCGGCGTCCAGGGCCTGGATCTCCTTCTTGTACACCCGGTTCTGGACCTCCACGCGGTACTGCAGCTCCCGGCGGTCGTCCACCACGAACCGGCGGGTGTTGCACTCCATCTTGAGCCCCATGCTGTGGATCACGGGGTCGATGATGTCGTCTGCGGGCGGAAGTGGTTTCACGGGGGTTATTGTGAGAGAAAAGTGGAAAGGGCTTACGCAATAAAGTTGTGTTTCGAGTTAAAGGTAAAACGAAAGTGTAGTTAATGGTACGGCTAAACTTTCTATCACTCACTTCGCGCCCAGATGTCGTGCAGCTTTGGGATGAAGAGCAGGCACAGCGTGGCCGTGGTGCTGGTCAGGATCAGGGTGGTGATGGTGATGAAGGCCAGGGTGACCCGCTCCGAGATCAGGTTGGCCAGCACCACCACAATGGCGCTGGTGATGACCACGCTGTAGACGGACACTCCGATGTACTGGGAGTCGTTCAGGGCGGGGATCTTCACGTGGCGCGTCTCCCAGGCCATGTACACCCCCACCACGAGGAGCAGGCCCTTGTAGGCGTACAGCACACTCAACCAAGTCTGCGTGTGCTGCGAGCGACACACCTCCACCTGACGGAGATAATTAAACCCAAATATGTACATTCCGCATACGATATCTGAAAAACTGCTTAGCTTTGTTAGCCAACAAAACTATTTGTTAACATGATTTGGTTATTTGCAGAACGGTTCCTATTTATGTTTGGCTTTTTGTAGCAAATAGAGCGTTCGCATTCAAATCAGATGTACTTAAATAAATAATAGCGTTGCAAATAATCTTTTGAATTTTTAAATCGAATCGCCGACGTTTATGATTTTACAAATAAAATTTCGCTGTGCAGTTCAATTAAGCGCCAATTTAAATGCACACAATATTTCCGTGATACTAAATTTAGATAAACTTTTATTATGTTATCAATTGCATTCTGTATATTCTGTATGTATTCTTGTATATTCGAGTATGCGGGTATAAATATTTAAAAAGGAGGGGCTGAATCCCTCATAAAAAACCCATAGGATAAACCTAGTGGAGTGCTTCAATATATTCACCTGCGGTTGGTAGACGACACTCCTGTCGATGGCGCTGATCTCGAGCGTGAGGTTGTGCAGGTGGCGCTCCATGGGATCGGTGACCACCCAGAGGGTTACGAGCAGGGCGTCCACCAGGAGCAGGGCGCCGACGAGCAGGATCAGCTGGATGTCCTGCAGCATCTTGTCCTTGAAAACGCTCCCAGTGCGCGTGAAGATCCTGTGGACTCTGTAGGTCTTGGCGAACATCGATCCGAAGGCAAGTGAAAACCCGGCGGAGAGCAGGTAAACGCGTGCCTGAAGAACAGGATGAGCGAAAGGGGAGGGGGTTAGAGGGGGTAACACTGTAGCAACGCACTAAGTGTCATGTCAGGCAGACCCAAGGAAAACAGGGCCGGCGGCAACAATGGGGAAAACAAGTCATCAATGGACCACAATCCTCGGAGTGGCGGAGACTTTGTTGTGCGTTTCAAATTTATGCAAATAAAGGAATATCACAAAAGTTGTAAATTTCTGTGTCATGTGTTTGCATTTTCAGGACCCCATCCTCAGTTTTCCCTCCATCAACGCCTGCGGCGCTCTGAAAGTACAGTCGAACCTCCCTCACTGTAATTTTATCTGGAAATTCAAGCACACTTGTAGATGGTTTTGCGTAAGTGTTTAATTCTGGTAAGAAATAATCGGTTTTGTACCCAAGTAAATGCTACTGTTACCCCATATCGTATTTATTCGCTAACCGTTTTCAGTTTGAGTTATGGATGTTCGACTGTGGCTTAACACCAGGGACTCCGCAATAACCAAAACAAACAGGGAACTGCAGAGCGGAACAGCAGGAGAAATGGTTACAGAAACAGGAAACAACAGCGACCAGCAAATTTCCCAGGAGTGGCGTTGGGGGTCCTTGTTAACGGAGGGGAAAGCCGAAAGGCAAGGGGAAGGGGACGGGGAAGGGGCGGCAGATCAGGATGAAAAGCTCGTCAAACTTGACTTGGCTTCAAGCAGCAGACTTGCAGCCAAATCCGTCGGCTATTTATAGCCTGTAGGGGTAAAAAATCACACTTTTAAAAATCGATTTCAATATGTGTCACTTAACCACTCTCATCTGAGTTAACAAAAATATAACGATAGATTAACTTGCTGGATGTTTGAGTCAATCCTAAGAGTATAGTTAGGTTGCAGAACATCTTGTTTTTCCCAGTGCACGAATAAAGCAAACACACGAACGCGGCTCGAAAGTTAGCAGCCTGAAACTGAAAGTCATATTTGATGTGGACCCCACATGCATGCTTACACACAAGAAGCCCGTCAAAGTCAAACAAAAACGGCTGGAGGAGGAGGAAGCGGACGGGGACTCCCGAGCAGCAGGATAACAACTCACCGTGCAGACCGTGGCGAAGGAGTCCTCCGCCGAGGGCAGCGTCGAGTGGTCCAGGCCCAGAAGGATGACGGTGGCGTACACGAGGATGCAGCCCACTGCGGTGATGTTGCTCAGCTTGGGGCTGGAAAGTTTAATTGCCCTGTGGAGTGAGATAGGAGGCGGTCAGGTTATGAGTCGAGGAGCCTTCGTCCTATCGCGGAAAGTGCAGAGTAAGCAACGGGTGCGAGACGTATACCCGTATGCCACTTTAACAACCGAAGAAACCCAATCAATTTGCTCAATCAAGAGTTGGCGGAGTATATTATAAAGTACCGAATTAACAGGGAGTTGAATTAAGGGAATCGGATTCAAAAGTGGGTTGAACGGAACGGAAAAAAGTATGCAAAAATACTCGGGCTACCCAGGGGATGTGATTAATGTTCCGCCTTACTTGAGCTTGCGGAAGTGCAGGTTGAAGGCCAGGAAGGCGATGGCCAGCGCGATTCCCACGCTCGACAGCGTGGCGATGGTGTAGAAGGCCAGCGGGGCGATGGTGGCCACCCGCAGCTTGAACACCCGCTTGGCGATGGGCACCTGGCCGCTGTGCCACTTCACCGGACGACAGCGGGGACACCGGAAGTCGAGGGCATCCGTGGCCGGATAGTAGAGGGCCACGGGTTCCAGCATGCCGCGCTGGATTTGGTAGAAGGCGGTGGTGCCGACGCGGTCCGGTCCGCTGAAGGAGACGGGTCCCTAAATAAATGGTACATATAATGCTAGTTCTACTGAAGTAGTTTTCCTCTTAATGCGATCCCCCACTAGATGCACTCACCGAGACTCCCAGGAAGTGCAGCTTGCCAAGCTGCTGCAGGAACTCCCAGGCCATGTCGCTGCGGGTGTAGTCGAACCCGTCCAGCTTCGACTGCTCCTCGTTGCGCCGCCAGTGCTCCTCGGCGGCTCTCAGGGCCAGGGCGATGGCCCAGACGGCATCGTAGGTCTGCGGGGCGTACTGCGAGATGGCCTCCGGGAAGAGGTGGCCCCCAGAGGTGCTCCTCCTCCTCCGGCGGCGCGAGTCCGCTTGCGGTGCGGTGATGCTGATCCTGGACCCAGAGCCAAGTCCTTCCTGGCCGTGGAACTGCGCGGCCTGTTTGCGCAGCTGCGAGTTGAACATGTGATTGTTCTGCGAAGTGGAAAGGCGATTAAACAGACCACGAGTGCCGCAGGATGCCGCCAGTAATAAGATTCCCCACGCCAAGCCCCCCGCCGCCGTTTCATGACCAGCACTAAAAGAGCCATAAAAGCGCGTCTGCGAATGCGAATGCGAAAGCGATGACAGGCAGGACTAAGGCTTCCCACTTAGCAATCACCATCACCATTGCCATCGCAATCGCAATCGCTAGAGCCATCGCAAACGCAATCGCAGCCTCGGGATTGTCTAATCAAATAAATCATTTCGTTTTGGACGCGCGTAAGCGGACGGACAAAGGAATAAGGAGCAGGACGACCAGAAGGACACGCTGGTTGCCTGTTGAAAAACAGACACTCGAAGAAACCGAATTGATTTTACAAAATGTAATACTTGATCGGGAGACATCTAAATTGATTTGCCAGTCCGTCTTGTTATTTTCTATTGGACTTTTAAAGAGGCCTTTCACAGTTATGATAATTTGTATTAAATTTGAAAACTTTGAATAGGAATCCTGAACGTTTTCCCCCAGTGAAGTGGTGTCCTTTGAACTCACCAGTCCGCTGTAGCTGACGTTGTTCCCGACGATGCTATTGTGCGTGGAGACCACGATGAGGTTCTCGACGGCCAGCTGCAGCTCGTGGTTGGAGCAGGCGGTTCGCTGGTCCGGCCACCAGGGGGCGCCCATGCTCTCGTGCAGGATCCAGGCGTAGTCCGCCCCGAACATCCGCAGCCTGTAGGCCTCGCACAGGATCTGGGGGGCCAGCTCCTGCGAGAAGCTGCCGATGATGATGCGCGTGTCCGTCTCCTGTGGCGATATGAACACAACGAACGGAATGGAGCGGCGGCCGCCCATTTGTCATTTGTCATCCTTCGATTAGCCGTCGCCCCCGCCCCCGCCCACACTCAACAAAAAAATGGGTAACAATCATGCTCTGGGCGATATGGTCTACTAATGATAAAGCATTCATCTGGGGGAATAAACTTTAAGTTGAACTAAGGAAACGGAATAAGAAGAAATTTAGGTACATAAACAAGAGGAAGTATATTGGAGTTTTAAAATAAATACTCAAAATAAAAAAAAATCAATATGCATGCGTATAAAAATAAACCTTTGTACTTGAAGGCCTTAAGAAATTTAATATATTTAAGTTGTTCATTATTTTCCTTTTATACTGTTTTGATTACACGAACAATTTTGTGGAATTCATAACGTGCAATAAAGTCGTGCAACAGCTTGTGGATATTGGCAACGGTGCACTTGGCCATTCAGGCCACTCATGCCACTCACCCTGAGGAGCAGCAGCTGCTCCTTGAAGTCGGTGGCCGCGAAGGTGATGGTGGCGGCGCAGGAGATGTTGGCCGCCTCCAGCTCCGTGACCAGGTTGTTCACCGCCAGCGAGTGGACCTCCTCGTTCTGCGAGAAGGTGGTCACCGTGCCCCAGCCGAACTTCCGGATGAAGGCGATGCGCGCCGGGTTGTGCGAGGAATCCGGGGCCACGGTCCGGTAGAAGTAGGGGAACTCCCGCCTGTCGCTCAGCGCGGGTGAGGTGGACCCGAAGGAGACCTTGTATCGAAGGGAATTGCTAGACTATTTGGGGATTGCTTAAAATGCAGGACGTGCTCCCAGGAATCCAGCCGACTCATGTGTCCTCGAGCTCCCCGCTTCCCTGCTTCCCCGCTCATTTAGCATTTAGTCTCCCAGAACCGAAACGAAACTTCAAAGACCGAATGCAAATGCCGAGTTCTAAGTGAATTTGTGGACCTCATAATTTGTGGGCCGTGGAAATGTTTATGGCCCGGAGGATTATGGGGTGCCGGCATCGGCTGGATTCCCGGCATTTATGCTAATCGAGCTACGCACGTGAGTTGATTAGATTTTTGAGAAATTGCCCGATTAAGCCAGACGCCCGGAACCGCCGAATGGGGTGTACGCGGGTATTTGCATTTTAATCAACCAGCTCACCTGCACGATGTTCCAGTAGGGCACCACCTTGGCCAGGCTCTCGGTGACCTCCGAGCACGCCGATCCGAGGAGCATCACCATCCGCGTGGAGGGCTGAGTGTAGATGGCGTGGAAGAAGCGATCCACGCCCACCCCGGGATCGCACTGATTGTGGGAGAAGCGGAAAACGCCATCAAATGGTGGGGAAAAGGGCACCTCAGGGAGGGTGGGGAGGAGGGGAAGGGGCTAAATAACAGGGGCAGAGGCCGTTGTGCACCGACTCGTTTCGCTGCCATAAAAAAGCGGCAAGATGGCGCCATAAACATTTTTAAAATGTCGACTTTGATAGAGGCACGGGCGGAGATGCGACTCCAGATATGACTGTCTGTTTTGGTAGACGTGCATATGCATACACTTAAAACAAAGCCTTTTCAATATTTATTACTAGCATTAAAAATTAATTAATCTTTCGAATCGCTTTGTTCCAGAACGTGAATTCAATATTGATTAAGTGCAAAGGCAATGTGAATTGAATTACTACTTATTTTAGTTTATAGCTGCTTTCTACTCTCAAATTTGAATAACAGATTTCGTTCGGCAAGTGTCGCTGCTCTTGTACATTTGCGTGCCCCATCAAAAGCGGCAACGACTCATCGCAATAAAAACGCTCGAGACGGAACGTTGATGACATATTTGCCGGGACTTTTAGGACCTCAACCGCAGCTGCTCACCGCCCGATTCTCCGTTCTCCATTCTCTGTTCTTTTGCAGCAGATTTTCTTATTAAGATTTAATGTGCACGCGCTACTAAATGAAAATTCAATTTGGTAATGGAACCGCCGCCTAGAATGGGTGACCCCCGCCGAATCCCGAATTCCGAATCCCTGCTTCCCACTCACCTGGGTGTCGTTGGTCACCAGTTCGAGGGTGTATCCGGGGAGGAGCCGCTTGCGGTTGATGTGCTCCACGGCCATGGTGGCCGCCCCCAGCTCGCTGAGTCCGTCCGGGCGAGGACCCCTCGCCGTGGAGAGCTCGAAGAGGCCGAGCAGCACGATCTTGCCGTGGTTGCGCTGCACCTCGGCCGGGGACATGCGGCGCTCGCTCTCGAACACCTGGTTGACCTTCAGGTAGCGCTGCCTGGGCGGCGGCGGGAGGAGCGGGTGGGGGTGGGCGTGGGAGGCGTTGGTGCTGCCGGGCAGGTTGCTGTGCGAGTTGAGGCGCTGCTGGCGGCGCTTGACTTTCGTCCGCTTGTACTTCCAGTCGGAGCGGGCGGGCAGCCCCTCCGCGAGGGTGGACTCCCCAGGTGGCAAAGGGGAGGTGGAGGTGGAGGTGGAGGTGGTGCTAATGGAGCCGGCACCCGGGCTAATTGCCTCGTAGCCGAGGGCCTGCAGCTCGGCGGACGATTCCATGCCCGCCGCCGCCGCTGTCGTCCAGGCGAGAGCCAGGAACAGCCGGAGACCCACGGCCGACCATTGGCCGTATCCCTCGGTCCTCGGACACGGGTGAATTATGCGCATCCCGTCGGCAGTGGCCAATGGCCCATTAATCACCAAGGCATTTGAATCGGCGGCTATCGGGAGGCTGCTGCAGCAAAAATGGGGCTCACAGGACACACAGGACACGCGGCTCGAGGACGGCGGGAATATATATCGCCTTTTTATGCACTCTGCCGACAGGATACGCTTATCGTTGCTCTTCCTCTTCCTCCGCTCCTGCCTCCTGTATCGGCGTCAATTTTATCGCCCTTTTATTGGCCTCACTTTCGCACGCATTTTGTATCTTCTTGCTCCGCTGCCTGCACACACTCACTCGGAAAAGTATGCGGCCGTTAAAGTATGCGGTGCTGAGGAGGTTCTCGATGGCTCAATTGAAAGGATTGCCCGACTCTGCGGAAAGTACACTACAAGTTGTAGCTGCAAGGAGCTAGTTTTCGTATAATTGTACACAGTTTAAAGATGTTGGATTAAGAAATCATTTGCTTTTTGATATGGTTTCACACACTGAATTTATTATTATAATATTTTATCAACTCACTTATAGTTTAATTTTATATACAGTTCTTTTGCACCATTAAAGCTGCCAATGATATAAAGCACTAAATAATTACTCATTTAATATGAAATGTGTTCGAACAAACATATGTAAGAAATGCCAATTCCTGAAACTGAACCTCTATTGATTTTTCTTCATGTGAAAGGGAATGGTCACGGAGCAACCATATCGAAAATATTTATGGCCCAAAAGGCATTCTTCCGCCAATTTGCCAGTTGAAAAGGATTAACCCAAAGTCTTTCGTGAAATGGACACAAGCCCCCGCACAAACTCCCTTTTCCCAGCTCCCCAGATGTTGTTCTTGCCGCTGTGTGGCAGCCACTTGGCTATTATTTTTTATGCTAATGGCCAAACATTTTGCGCTTTCATTGCGGGCTTTTGGGCTACTTTTTGTCGAGTCTCACGCGCCACAGATTTCGGTGAGCGTTTCTCTCTGTATGCGCGCGTATGCATAATTGTTTCGAGATTACCAACTTGCAGTCTTTCCCCCGCTTCGCGGCTTTCCCGCTTTCCCACTTTTCCGGCGCCCACTCACCCACACCTTCACCCACTCCACGGACGCTTTCTTTCGTGCCTTCTGCCTTATTCTTTCTCTTCTTGTCGCTGTTGGCTTAAAATAACTTTTTGGCCCATTTCGTTGTTTTAGCCCGCTTTGTTTTGTCCACAGAGTTCTCGTTGCGCACAGAGGCGTGCCCGGAAGGGGGTTCCAGCCCCACTTAACCCCCCTCCGAAACTCTTTAACCCCTGAGTGCATGGTATACAGTTAACATTTGCCCCCTGCCCCCTGCCCCCTCCCGCTCTCCTTTGTCTAACCCCTTTGCACTGGGCTACTCGTGCAAATAACAACTCATATTTGTATACGCACTGAGAACAGCAAGGAAAATACATTGTGACTTTAAGGCTTAAGAAAACAATCTGTAAGTTGAAAGAAACTTAAACCTCAGAGCCTAAAAATGGCAAACTGCTCGGGCTGGAAAAAGGACACAAATTAATTCAATTAAAGTTTTCAATAAGAAAAAAATTGTTAGCTAACTTAAACAGAAACTAAACGACCTGAAGTTTAATTTGATATTGAGTTACCAAAAATATTAAGTCTGCCAAAAAAATCTGCCATTGGTTGATAAAAATGAATTTATGAATTTAATCAACATGATTCACAGATTTGCTTTTATAAAATACTGCTCTATAATAGGATTTAATGCGTTATAGTTCATATTGAATTTCAACTGTTCAGTAAAATTGGCACGCGCAAATTGAGTCGCCAAAGTACACATAAACTAGAGTCAATTAAAGCGCTGATGGAAATTCCTGAAATGAGATTATTTCGTGAGAAGCTTTCCATTCAAATCAGACACACGTTGAATGGTCTTTAGTCATGTTTATTCAAAACTACTTTCCCGATTCCCCTCTCGATTTGAGTCCTACCCCTCCGACATTTCTCACAGTGCAGAGCACATTTGAGTACATGAATATTTAGCTGCTGCTCTGCTTTGGTCCTTTCTATTATTCTGCCATATTTCACAATTGTTGCCGTGGTATTTAAACCCACACTTATTTATGGCCATGTATGTGATGTCCCTCGCCTCCCCCATTGTGTCCATTGCCCGCTTTAGTTGTTATTTTCATGCTTGACATAAATTATGCAAAATGCTGGCTGCATTTGTAATTCAGATTCCATATTTCGCCGCTCGTCGTGTGCAAACTGTGAAGCTGCAACTGCTGCGAACTGCTGGCAAAAAATGCAGGAGCGGGGGCGTTGCACACTGAGCACACTGAGTGTGCTGAGCAGCGGCAGTGTGGCAAGTGCACTCTGCCCATTCGGAGACGCCATCCGAGATGCGATGTCAGAATGCCTGATGCGATCTGCGATTTGTTATGCAGCCAATACTCGGCTGCAGGCGGTGGGCGGGGCAAATCGCTCCGGGTATTTCCACAGAGATTACCACTGACAATGCAACCGCTTTTTCGGGTTCACTTAACTGTCTGCTCAATGGGCAGGCACAATAATCTCGGCAGGCGAGCATTGTCTCTGCTCAGCCGAGGAAGTTGCGTTCATAAATATTGCGTATACGACACGGGGCACACACTCTCGCACCGTCACACAAAAATGACAATTTATTGGCATTTCATGCATATCTGAGCGATAATTTAATTTGTTGAATTTACTTTGCAGTTTCGGCAGGCGAATCACGCACGACGACGGGTTCTTAGGTTTTTCGAGATTTTATTTCCCGGGCTTTCCGCCTACGACAAGGTGCAACCAACGAGCTCCGGACCGCAACTGTTGGCAGTTGTCGACGTTCGTGGGCTTTTGTCTGACGAGACGCGGATTGAAACGGCATCCTCCGAGGAAGCTGGGGATTCAATTTCCATCGCCAGGCTTCAACCGGCTCCGCTCTCTTCTCCGATTTAAAGTGCGCCTGCGTCGGGAAAGCGCGCCAAAATTTCATTCATGAAAAACTTAATCGGGTTGGGGGCGCACAAGCAACAAGCTGTGGCAATTGAAAACTGTGCAGGAAAGTTTAACTTTAAATTATGCAAATTAATGCCCAACATGAAACTAAATAATTTGCAACTGCTTTAATGAAAAATTCATTTAGCACGCTGCCAAATAATTGCGAGCAGGAAGGACAGCTGTCGATTCGCGTTGCTTTCGCTGGTAAATTACAGAAGGCAGAACAATGGCGGACTGGCAGGGAGGACACGCTTAATTATGGCTGCATTGAGTTGTTCAGTTCGCCTGGAATTGAAATGCCGCCTTGCATTCGCTAAACATTTCCGCAGCAGCTTTTTCCCAGTCCAACTTGGCTTGCATAATATGGCTGAGTTCGCTGTGAACTCGCCTGCCTTTCTCCAAATGGCCTTTTGCTCGGTTCGGTTTCGTTTTCGCTTCCCTTATCGAGCTGCCATGGAAAATAATTTGATTTGATTGCTGCTCCTCATCCACTGCCGTCCGCCTTCAAAGGTCTGCATTCAAAAAAATGTAATTAATTTTCTGGCCCAAATCCACCCATCGCCACATTCACGGGGACCCTGTGGATGCGAATGGAATGGGTTGATAAAGTTGATTTTATGAGCTGCCAAACTGCAGCCTGCACAAACTACCCTTCAGATGGGCAACCCATTTGCGAAAATGATTCAATTCAATTCCCTCCTGCACTGCGAAAATACTTTTATTCCGAATGATTGTATCCTCAACACACTTTGGGTTGGAAAGTGAATTGGTTTTCAAATAATGCATCAATTTCTTTGGTAAGTTTCGACATAATAAATTGAATACTTAAACAAACAGCATTTAAGGTGATTTCACATTACTCCGTGCAAGGTGACTGGATGATTGTAAAGGGAGAGCCAAAGATTGCGATTATCGCCGCTTGACTTGAGTTCCAGCCTCCTCGGCGCCACCCATGCAAATTTGATGGCACCCCTTCCCTCCCCCTTTGGGGATCCGAATGACAGAAGGATACAGCATCCAACGGATTTCAGTACTTTCGCTACTGTGACAGTGCAACGGGGATTTCGAACGAGAACGACAACGAGAATGAGAATGAGAATGAGAACGGGATTGGATTGCGACTTTTGTTTGGCTCCCTCGGCTGGAGTTGGCAAATAAAATGCAATTACACCGCAAAACTCAATTTCAAGTGTCAAAAAGTTGCACTGCACTTAAGAAGTTAGCGATGGTGCGACATCCACTCCGATTCCTCTGTAAATTCAGTAAGCTGAAAGTTCAGATGGGCCACAAAGCGGATTATGGCCAGAACGACTGCTGGCTGCTCCAGCCCAAAATATATGCCCGAATATGACTTACAACTCGACAGCCCGATGCGGAGTGATATCCCTGATAATTTATAGCCTAAATGGGCGATATTTTGCCGTGTTCTGTTTATGTTTCCTCCGCCTGCCAACTAATTTGCCGTCGAGGAAGAGGGAAGGGGGAAAGGTGGACTTGGCGATTGCCTCTGTACGAGCGGCCTCCATTTGCATTTTAAATGAGCTGGCTGGGAAACTTTTTACAATGCCACTTGAAGTTGTCGGCTGAACTTCTCTCAGGCGGGTGCTTAGAATTCGGCTTGAAGATTGGCCACCTACACCTTATTTTAATAACAAATGTTTGCACTACGGAAACGGGAACGAAGGCGTACCGAACAAAACGGGAATTACTATTCCGATGTTCATGTTTGCCTTGAAAAAGTGAGAATTAGAATGCACTCTGCTGGTTCTTTTTCATCTGAAGTGTGCTCACTGTTCGGCCAAACCGGCCGTTGAGTGTGGACAACTATTTGTTGTTCGTTCGGTTCTTCGTTTCCTCCTGTCTCGCTTTGTTTGCGGACACTTGGCAAATTGGCAGCTTCCCCCTCTCCAGCCGGACAACTTCGGGGCAGGCCGAGTGGAAACAGTTTACACGTTCCGCTCTTTGATGCCGGAGCACACGGCGTATGCGTAATTTAGTGCTGCATACTTTGCGGCGCAAATTTGCACTTTTGTGACTTGCTCAGCAGCCCTCCGCTGATGTCTGAGTCTCCCCCGACAGCACTTAAAATCAGAAATTCAATTATCCTCCACACACGCTCCCCCGCACCGTTCCCATTTTCGCTTTTCACTTTCCACTTTCCCACCCTCGTTCTTCGGAGTAGGCCTGGTTCCATTTCGCACGCTCATTTCACACCTGCGCGCCTTTTCAAGGTTGACAAAGGCACTGCTCGGGGGGCGGGGCTGGCTCAGGGGAGGTGGAATGTGGAGCACTGGCAACTTTATTGTTCCTCGGAGTTTTTGGCCGGCAGTTGGAGCTGTTGGCCCCAGCAGGTGGACCCAAGTCCCTTTCCAGCTCGAACTAGTGCGCTAAAGACAGTTTTCCAGGGCGCGTACAGAGAAAAATAACCGTTAGCCATTAAAAACTTCATAAACCCTTATCACAGTTTGAGGATAAAGAGCACAAAAACACAAAACATTATGATGCACACAGATACTTAGGGTAATAAATCACACTTGCATATCCGTTTCTTACACCCTTGGTTTGTTTTTTTCCGTGTAAGAGTCTTAAGTAAGGTACTGGAAATCCGCGTCACTTTCAGGGCAATTTAATTATAATTTTCTTCTTTTCGGGCCTGGCCTGGCGAAAAATTCATTATCGCCAGGGCAAATTAGCTTGAAAACAATTAACACCTGTTCGCCTGCTGCTCGTGGCAGGCCACTTCAAAACTAACACGGTCGCCGAGCCATTTACCTTTTGCGAGCTGGTAGATGGGACGCCTTTCCCGATGCCCAGCCGTATCCTCCGCATTTGCCCGCCCAGGCTCCTCCTTTATTCTAATGAAAAAAGTTGCACAAAAACTTTTCAAATTACAACGGAAATCCGTGAAAATCCTTTTAACAAAGCACAACATGACCAACTGCGGGAGGAGCGCTCCGATGATGACGACGCTGCTGATTATGATGGCGCTTTAAACAGACATCGGCCCACATCTGCTGTTAGCCGGCAACCCGCAACACGTGCCACCACCGCCGTCGACACGGAAAACCACCGACAGCACCACCGGCTGTCGTCCATTTTCCTGTCGCGGTTTTCCCAGCAGGGAGGGGAAAGCTGCGACTGTGACTGAAGTTTGCAAATTGATTTAGTCGCCACTTGGCAAGGAGGCACATTGAGAAATACTTATTGATATTTGATACACGCGGATTTGGGTATGCGGAGTTTATGTTGAATATATAACTTTGAGATGTTCAAAACAAAGACCTATTCCTTTGGCTCCTCAGGATCGGATTAAATGTTATTTCTAAGTATTTAACGAACTTTTTTTCTGTGCAAGTGAGAAACTGAAAGGGAGCGTTATGCAAAACTAAAAGTTATAATCGAAACAGCATCAGCAACTTTTAGCAAAAGCTTGGACAAATAGGACCAAGTACCAAGAAATGAACGAGACCAAAATCTCTTGCAATTATCACTACTTAGGTCGGTTAGCTCTGCCTTCAGGACTTAAAGCAAGTTATGTAAGCACGTATTGGTAGAGAGGAGAAAAGTGATTCAAAAAATCTCTTCATTCCTATATATCTCTATTCTTTTCGATTCAAAACCATGACTTTAAAGTGGAAGGTTAAATATATTCTCTCTCATATTGGTATTTTCGGTTCACTCACGCACTTGGTTTCATCACTCATCACTTGGCCTCCGTTCAGTCTGCAAACACGTTTTCACGCACTTTTCAAAGTTTATTTATTGACTGCGGTTGAGACAGAGACTCTTACATTCCACTTTTCCAGTTACCGAGTATTTTCCAGAGCAGCCGCTGCTGTCGGGAAACTTTGAACTTTTAATGAAAAATATTCAATTTTTCAGGTGTTGCAAATATTTAACAATTTGCAACTTTCTGTATATGGATTTCAGAGTGGGTGCGGCGGTGGGAGATCTCCCTCGCCTTCCCCTTCCCCTTTCCCAACCAACCACCGCACCACAACTGCGGTCGCGGAGTGGTTTCCGCGCAAAAAGGTCCAACCGAAGGGACAAAAAATGAAAACCTGAAGCATTTTAAATGTTAATTAAGAACGGAGCAGAATCGCATAATTTGCGTGTAGCCCGGTTCCTGCATCCTGCTTAATTGGATTAGGTTCCGTTTGAAAGTTAACGTTTTCGGGTTTTCCCACCAAATTAAATTAGCCGGCCAAAAACTGAGAAGCGCAGAGAGAAGCACACAGTTTTTAGCGGGCCCAAAATTGAACATCATTTGATTTGGAACACGATCGACCCTTCAACTCGATTTTTTTGCTGATTGGCTTACAGTGGTTTCTGTCTTTTTCTGTCCATTTAAATATTTATTATGTCGAATATTACAAATCGAAATTGTTAACTGGTTGTTAGGACTCAAAATGTTTGATTCAAGTAAATAAAAAATTATAATAATGATTTCTTATTTAATTAAACTCATTTAATGGTTCTTCCATTAGAAATTCGCATGCCATTTACCGAGAGGCCACTGTTCGAAGCCGTTACCCGCTGCAGTCGCTTCGACTGTGGGAAATGCGGACTGCTGAGCGCTGGCGGCAGAAATTCTTCTTTTATAGCCACCAGCATCAACTTCGGGCCCTTCAACTCGGTTCAACCAATATGTTAATTTAAGCTTAATTTTTAAGCCCTCATTTGCCGGTGGTAAACAAAGGACAGCTGTTGCAGCAATCACCCTGTAGATTGGTGTCCAACAGCTTTCCTTAGTAGAGACAGCAACCGGTTTATGGCAATACCCATAATACAAATGCAGCTATAAATCAGTCATTTATAAACACCTTAACAGATTTAAGAACTTTTCATCAAGTAATTTTCTTGGTTGCATTTTATTAGCATCAAAGAATAAATTTTTGGGTTTCCTGTTGATCTGCTTTCCCCTTCCCTTGTCTCTTGGACCTGAAATATCCATTTACCGGCCTTATGTCCGATTTATGTAAGGCAACCTCAAACGGACTCCCACTGAACAATCACTGATCCAAGTCGGCACGCAACAGCCCCATATCAGCGTTATTTTAGGTCTCCGTTTAAAGGTCTCAGCTTGTGCATTATGTAAATTGGCCTTATAATGGGGCTATCATTTGAGGAAGCCTGATTGCGGTGGCTAATTTGCTTTCTAATTTATTTTTCAGAAGCGTTTCTGCAATGCAGGTAAGGTATTTTCCGCTTTCCCCCTTACCCAAGAGCAGTGCACCTGCACCGCGCTCTAATTAAAATGACAAATCGAAACACGAAAGCATTTCATCTTGGTACCTTGGCATCTGGCCGCGTGGCGTATGCGTAATTTTCTCAGCTTGATGTTTTCTCGCGCTCTTCAGTTGCAATTTTCCACTTAAGGCTATGTGCTGTGGGATCCACGCAAGCTGAGCAATAACAAAATCATTTTGATGACCGATGCTCATTTGAAATAATCAAAAGGAATAGGAAGCGGGTTAATAAAAATGCACGTAGTAATTAAGTTGATTATGATAACTTTAATTTGAAACAATATTAAATAAATACTTTTCAAGAGTTCTTCTATAAGAGATACTTTATTTTCGTCGGCATATTTAGAGTTAGATTGAATCAAAAGGTATTTATTATTCGACCCTCTCCGCCGCTTCATCTTATTTGCATGTTTTGGCATTCGTGTCGGTTTAAGGCAATTTCCCAAAGATTTAAAGTGTGTCAAAGTGCATTAAACAATTGTCGTTTGTTTTGGGGTGTCGGTCATTTGTTTTTGTGAGGGGAACGGGTTGCGGCGCTGATATTATACTATATAATTATACGATATAGGCCCAGACACAACAGAGACGAATGGGGTCTCTTTGACGCGTTTGCTGGCGTCACGGGCCGCCTTCTCGCTTTCTCGCTCTTTCGCTGTCGCATTAGCGACCGAAGAATTAGAGAACTTACACAGAGAACCCTTGCGGCAAAGTGAAAACGAAATGTGGCAAAAACAAAGCCAAAGAAATGTCGCTACTGCTTAAATTAAATACATTGCTCACTTTCCGTTCAATTGTCGAGCCCAGCGGACATCGGAGGAGCGTCTTCAGATCGCGGTCAGTGTGCAATCCGCCAATCCCGAGCTGCCTTCGAATTCCGCCTAAAGGTCCAGCGTGCGTCGGTTGCCAGGCAGTTGAGTCCGCTGCCTCGCGCGTTCCGGTTGCAGATTCCGGTTCCCGGTTCCTCGTCGCGTCGATCATTTCGTGTTGAGGTACCTGGAGATCCTTTACCAGCCCAAACACCTAGAAACGAACGGCTAGATTTTATTGGGGGTCCCCAACGCCAAGCTCGTTACTCTAATTTCCTTTCAAGACTGGCGAAACATTAATTAGATGAAAAAATCAAAGCAATATCAACTAAATAAATATTAAGCAAGATCAGTATTTATTTTAGTTTAGGTTAGTAGTTGAAAACAACAAAGCAATATTATTATATAATATACGAGCACTTTAAAAATAACTGTCGATGTAACAGGTACGGAGGTTTCACAGTGGACAGCTGAAGAACAAGTTAAGCCTTTCCTGTTTACCACTCACGTTGCCATTCACCTAACCACAACCTAAACCACCCTGAATAAGGGGCATAATTAAATTTACCTTGACCCGATGAAGAACTGCACTGCGAAAACAATTTAAGCTGAAGGGTCTTTTCATAAGTTCTTAGATTTTTGCGTCAGCACTTTTTTTTTTGCGAGCTCTCCCCGCTTTTTTTAGTAAACAAAGCTTCAAGATAAGCTCCTCAAAGTCACACTTAATTAAACAAAAGCAAACTTAGACATATTACTATTATCTGTAGGTAAAAATCAATTTCCTACAACGGCTACAGCGGTGCAACGTATTCTGAAACTGTTGATGCAACGGCAGCAAAAACTGCTGCGGAAATTATTCCAACTGACTGCATTGGCAAAACGTTAAGCATACGCAGTGGTGTACGGCAAAAAATCAGATAAAGTGAAAAGCCAAAAGTGAGTGCAAAGTGAGTCACAAGTCGAAAAACAGTAATTATTGCGGGGAGTGTCATCAACCAGCTCCATCCTGGGTAATCTGTGGTTAATCGTTCGAGGTGAGCTCATCGAAAAACAACCTGGAAATCAACAGAGCGGGGCGATAGGGAAAGCCTAAATATAGTTATTAAATAACCATTAACAACTAAGTTTGCCAAAAGCACGCAGAGAAATAATAAAGTATTTAGCAAAAGAGACCAGCACTTATCCGGAATTCAGCTACAATTGGCCTTATATTTTAAAGATGACTTATTTTGTCCTGGTTACAATGATGTTTATAAGTGCTAGGATTATATAAAAATACTTGTAAGCCTAAAAGATTTGACAAAATACAATATCTGAATGCTTAGGTTGTTCTCAAAAAGAAAATGCTTAAAATAGGAATCATCTTAATATACACTTAATGAGAAAAATAGGGCAAAAATAGGCAGCCTATAATGAAATGTAATTATTTATGTGTACATTGATTAGGATTTTTTGTTTTGTTGAGAGCGTTTCAGATATTGGGATGTAGGGTGACCTTCGATCGCACTAAAATTTTTCTGCTTTCGTGTCTTTCTGTAATTTATGTCAGCCAAGCGTATCCGAAATGAATGGGCCGAGTGACAGGCCAAATCGATTAGAAACTCATGGGACCGGCCCTAACCATCTATTATGGTCGAAAATCTTTCTTTCTCCCAGTTTTCGGAAAAACCCCACCTAAATGTCAAGTTCAAGTTCGCCGGATCGGCAATCAGCATGTGTTATGCACCCGAAAGTTTTCACAGGGGAAGTGCCAATAAATTTTGTGTCTGGCAGCGTGCAGAAATCAAAGCGACAATTCAAACTCGTCGCTGCAATTATCTTAATTATCTGCCAGAGATCGGGGGACATGGCGAGGATGCAGTGCGAGTGGGAATGCAAATGCGAGTGGCTACTATATATGACAACCGAACTCATCCGGATCCCGGCGGACGCAGAACGATTTGTTTGTTGTGGCCAGGCCGAAGTTAAATATAGCGCTGCCCTATTGATTTGGCCCACTGCCCGAATGATGGGCCATAGGTTTCCTTGCCTTTCTGGCTTCTGTGGCTTTTCTGGGAAAGCCGAAGACAGGGGTCTCTCACATGATTTATGAATGACAGCTAACAAGGCGCGCTCTCAGGCGGATCGATAAACGTCTTTCGGCGGCCAACCTCTTCCTGGCTTGCTCCCCAAGGACATCTAGTGGCAATTGCCAAGTCACTTAAATCGATTAGCGACGCTGTTAAATCAAATTACCTGGAAGGGTTCGGAAAGTGGTTCTGCACTGGGGAAAACACTGTCGAGGTATTTGTGCTGATATGTAATATAACATAATTTTGTATGATGATACAATAAATAATAATTATCAACGAAATGAACAGCTGTCTGCAGATGTGTGGTTTTACAAGAATGTCAACAACTAAATCTATAAAATGCGATATTAGGAATAGTTTACAGTTTTATGAATATAATTCATTAATTTGAAGTTAATATCTAAATCTTTAACACATTTGTTGTAACATATCGTACTAAGTACTTGACATTATTTCTCTGAGCGGTCGTTAATCAGTTTACGCGTGTTTGTTAGCGGAATTTTCCGCGTTATGATAATTGCGTAGCGTCAATCAGCTTTTCGACGGTGCGTGATGTCTGCATCTATTTCAATTTCCATTTCGTTTTCATTTCCCTGCCGGCACTTGCCATAAATGCGCCGCGAGAAGAGAGAGCAAGGGAGAGAGAGAGATTCGTGTTATGGCACAGGACACTCGACTCCTGCGAGGGTTCTGAAATAAAAAGCTGACCCGCCGAGAGAGAGGCTCATTCGCAGGAGCAAGCTTGAAGTGAACGGTTGGCACTCGAAGGAGCTGAAAGTCGCGGAGTGGAAAGCAAAAAAGAGAAACAGACGGCTGAAAAAAGTGAAATCGAAAGCGGAAGAAGGCAAGGCTAAGGAGCTTTAAAGGACCTAGAAAACCCAGCCAGCTCCCCTGTTAACCCGATTCAAGTCGAGGCAGGTCCTGACACAAATTCCCCCTGCCAGCTGCAGTTGACCCCTGACCCGACTCTGAAAAATCGATTGTCCGTGTGCGAGCGGGACTGCAGGCGCATTCCATTGCCATTCCGGAGCGGAAAGTACCCAAAAAGCACAACAACGGAGCCGCCAACCCACGACCGCCGCAGCAGCGAGGAAGTACTTTCGAGGGGCGGAACGCCGAGTCCGCCGAACAAAAGGAAGACAACGCCGCACCGGTAGAATGGCCTACCTAATCAACATCCTCAAGTTCAATGTGAAGTACTTAAAAAATCAATAACTGGACACCGACACCAGCACCAGCACCAACACCAACACCGATACAGATACCGATTCCGAACCGACACCATCCATTCCAAAAGGAGCATCCTCAGAAAGGCGAAATAGTGACTAAAAGGGGAACCCCACTCGCCACTAGCTCTCTCTGTCTCTGTCTCTGTCTCTCTCCCTCTCTCGCTCGCGCCGTCTCGCTCGCTCCTCTCTCGGTTCTCTGTCGCCCCGCTCTGCTGCGCCTCGTCGTGCGCCGCCCCCCACCTGGACACCCGGACACCTGGACAGTGGAAATGGAAAAGTCTGGCAAATTTTCAGATTACCTTTTCGCCAAAATGGGTCCCCCCACCGCTACCGAGCTCCCCCCGAAGACCACGGAACGCAGCGACGCCCCCGTCGAGCTGACCGGCTACCGCAAGTGGCTGTCCGACAACCTCGTGCTCCTGGTCACCCTCTCCGGAGTGCTCCTCGGCGTGGTGCTGGGTAAGTCAACGCCTCTCCCTCCTCGGAGATGTGCTGCTCTTTCTCACTTATAAACATGGTGCACTTCCGCAGGACTTTCACTGCGACCGCTCAACTTGCACGGGGACTCCATCATGCTGATCTCGTATCCCGGCGAGCTGTTCATGCGCGTGCTCAAGCTGATGATATTGCCGCTGGTTATATCGAGCTTGATTGCCGGATCGGCCAGCCTCAATGCCAAGATGAACGGAAAGATAGCGCTGCGCACCCTTGTTTACTTCGCCAGCACCTCGTTCTTCAACGCTGCTTTGGGAATCGCCCTCGTGCTGCTCATCCATCCTGGAAATCCGGATCTGCACAACACCGATAACCGCTCGACGGACAGAAGGGCAGTGAACTTGCTGGATAGCCTTTTGGATTTAGGAAGGTAAGGCCTAACAATTATCTTTAAAAAAGTATGAAACCTGTTAGCTTCCTCAGTGCCGCCATCTACATGTCAGTTTAATGCAGCAACTAGTGTTTTCAGCCGGCAAGCAGTTCGCTCCAATGAGGTTGTAAAGCAGTTCAAATCCAACAAAATCTACTCTTTAATTTAAGAGAAACCATATTATTTAAACTTTTTTAAAGATTACAAAATATTTCCTTGAATTAATATTTAAAAATTAGGCGTTCTTAATAGAAACCTATCTTATATTTTGTCACAATTCCTTAAAGTAATTCAATGGCTCATTTTATCCATCACCCAGAAACGTATTCCCCGACAACCTGTTCCAGGCCTCCATCCAGCAGGCACACACCGTGTACCTGCCCAAGCCGAGCATCCTGCACGCCTTCAACGAGACGATGAACGACACCCTGGTCTCCGGCGTGGAGGCCCAGCGACTGCCGGAGGACCTCGCAGAGGAGGTGGTGCTGGTGAGGGACGTGCAGTACCGCAACGGAACCAACACCCTGGGCATCGTGTTCTTCTGCCTCGTGTTCGGCACCTTCCTGGGCACCATCGGCCAGAAGGGGCAGGTGGTGGTCGACTTCTTCGCCGCCGTCTTCGAGGTGATCATGAAGATGGTCACCTGCGTGATGTGGCTCACCCCGGTGGGCATCAGCTCCGTGATCGCCGGCAAGATCCTCAGCGTGGGCGACCTGGCCCTGGTCATGTCGCAGCTCATGTGGTTCATCGTCACGGTGGCCCTCGGCGTGCTCATCTACCAGTTCGTCGTGATGCAGGCCATCTACTTCGTCGTCGTGCGCCGCAATCCGTTCAAGTTCTACGCCGGACTCATCCAGGCCATGCTAACCGCCTTCGCCACGGCCTCAACGTGAGTTCTGTGTTCTCTGTTCCATCGGGAATAATTCGATTTTAAGACTAGAATTTGTTCGTGGCCCTTGGCCATAGGCACTAAGTAAAGCCAACTGCCAAGTACAATTTTTCTGAAGAAATTTTTACTTAACTAAAATCTTCCAAAAATCCTCTAAACAGTTATAGACTTGCACAAGAAACTACTCAGGGACAAAAAGTTGGTTTTCTAATAACTTCCGTAGTCAAAGATCATCCAGTTTTTCTAGTCACTCAATCGTTTTTATGAATTTCGAAGCTTGTTACTTTAAAGAGAAGCCATTCCCAATTTTTGTGAACCTTTTGAGTCCAGGATCAGAAATCAGTAGGAGTGCGTTAAATGTGTATCTTTTCTTTCTTCCGGTGTTTGCCACGTCCTGATGTTGTATCCACCCACTAACTCACACACCCAAAAATCACACCACCACACTCCTCTACAAATCTGCGACTGCCCCTTAGCGCCGCTGCCCTGCCCATAACGTTCCGCTGCATGAACGAAAAGCTGCGCGTGGACCCGCGGATCACGCGGTTCGTCCTGCCCATCGGGTGCAACATCAACATGGACGGGACGGCGCTCTACATCGCGGTGGCCTCGATCTTCATCGCCCAGATGAGCGGCATGGTGCTGGGCTTCGGGGAGCTCCTCACGGTCCTCCTGACCTCCACGGCCGCCTCGATGAGCTCGGCCAGCGTGCCGAGTGCCGCCCTCGTTCTCCTCCTCGTGGTGCTCACCGCCATCGACGCTCCTGTCCAGGATGTGACGCTGCTCTTCGCCGTGGACTGGTTTGTGTGAGTACGGATCTGGCTTTGGTTGCGGTTAACCCTGGGGAGTAGTGAGTAATGTGGGCCTTCCACTTTTCAGGGACAGGATTCGGACCACGAACAACATGCTTGGGGATTGCTACACCGCCGCCATTGTCGAGGAACTGTCGCGCAAGGAGTTGATGGCCCTGGACGCAGCCTCCGTGAATTTCCAGGTACGCCTACCTGCACTTGCAAATACAGCTCCCCTATATATAGTACCCCTTCCAGGACATTCCCGCTGGCACCCCCAACGGTCACGGACATGGACACCACGGCGAAGGACTCCTGGAGGGGCAGACCGAGCTGGACTCGAGCAGCAAGTGCGTGATGACCATGACGGACTCGGTGGTGGTGGACATGGGTGCGGTGATGAACAACGTGAACCTTCAGCAGGAGCACTGCAACCGGAGGGTCTAGAGAAGGACCGGCCCTCCACACTCGATTTTAGTTCGTCAGCGTCGCCTCAGTAGAACCGGAGCCTCCACCACCGCCACAACCACCACCACCACTGGAACAATAAGAGCCAAGATATCACCACCAATAGACCACAGTGTTCCCCCAAAGTTTTTGATATAGCATCTTCGAAGAACAACCAATTGGATTTATATCGAGAGACAGTCTGACGAACCCACCCGAATTGAATTTACTCCTCTTTTGGACCAGTGTCGATAGCAATTAATTAGCCTGAACACTTAAAGGACTCTGCATACGTATATATCGAGTATTCACCCAGTAGGAACCGCATAGGAACTATATGAAACACGTAGGCACACACATTTAACCCGAAAACGAACCCGAAAACGGAAGGAAGCGCTTAGCGAGGGACTCCTGTGATCGGCCCTTGGAACTATGTGTATAATCTATGGGTATTATTTAGTAAGATCGATTGTGATGGGGACACTCTAGTTTGTTTTACAATGTTGCTTATTTCGACGTTATATATGTGTTGTTTGGATGTTTGTGAGGATCAACGTATAAGTTGACAGCGGGCGGGACGTAGAACGCAGGTTGTATAAGGAGCAGGCCTAGGTTTAGTTCTAGTTTTAGTTCTTCTGTTACCTTACCTTATTTACACTCCCCGGTTGGAACTAGCGATCAATACAAAACAATTATCAATTATCCACTACCGATTCCGAAATGAATATCACACATGCATTCGTAGACTGATAGCAGACTTAGTAGCGATAACAAATACGTATCTGCATATAGCAGTACCACTAACCAATATCCGACATTCGATTTGTACGCAAACGCATACGCAAATACAATGAAGTTATTATACCACCTACTGAGATGTAACCGAGGGTATTGTTATTTTAATATCTCATCCGGTTCGTTCGATTTGGGATTTACACATCGCCTGTGCTTAAAATGCACAATGTGCATTGTGAACAAGGGCTTACATTTGGTCAGAGTCGCATCATTTATGTCTGTGATACACACCATCTGACACCTAAGCTATGTTAATTATATTTTATTGTCGGCATAACTTGTAGCAGGATTACTTAACGAGGTCAGCAGTTGATATTTACCCAAGGTGATAACTCTATTTTAATAAGAGGCGGCTGGTGTGTTTATTCGCCTGCTAATTGTCTGTCACTAGATTATGTATCTTCACACACTATATCTTCATTCGGATCGCGTTTTACTGCGACTTTATTTCTGAGAGTCGAGCGCAGCGCAAACGGAAATTTGCCTATCAACACGTCCATAAATCTCCGGATCGATGGGTGAGTAGCAGAGATCGGGCAATGAGTAGATGAATCATCACTGGGCCCAATAACTCAACGCCTGCACCACTTGGCCAGTGGTTTTGCTCGAGCGAGCCAAATCGGGCTCAAATAATTATATAGATACGGTCATAGGTGCATGTGCATATGAATGAGCGAATAAATTACTCCGCAGTGTGGCCCTGGAGATAAGGTGTACGGTTCTAAGATCTGCAGGGGAACTATACTCGTATAATCGATTCGGTTATTTTTCACACTTCATTTTGAGTTCGTGTCACAGCAATAGGGTTTTCGTATGCAGTTCATTATTTTGCAAGAAAACGTCGGTCATTATAAACCATTCATAAAGCAGATCAATCAGTATGTTTTCCACCAGGGGCACAGTTCCATAGCCGTTTCATTTAAATAAGTTAACCATGCACTATCAGCTATTGTAATCTCGGGTGTAGATCTCCCACCTCAGATCCGCTTTGCTCTTCGATTTGCCGCCGTGTCAGGTGTCAATCCGCAGAGCAGACTTCTCGCAGACTCGAGGGTCCGACTGCACAGGTGAATGAAATCAGCGGCGGGAAACTCAGCAAATGAGCAGGGAGCTGTGGGCGAAGGGGCAGTATTTTTATACTTATATATTATGGAGATTATGGAGATGCAAGATGCAAGATGCAGGTTGTGAGAGGCGAATGATCGACCTCCGTGTGTGGTGCAGAGTGCATACACAGGAACAAAATCGTACATCATGTGATGACTCGAATGGTGAATGAGCTGCATTAGCCCGAGTTAACTTGTCACATATCTGAATATACAATCGCAATAAAATTCACACTTCGTATATTAATAGTGATATTTACAAATATGAAATTAATACTAATGTTTATTCTAGGTGTGCATGCAAACGAATCAAATTTGCGCCACGCCGCTTACAGAAGTGCGCAATTGCAAAGTCGAGCTGTCGAGCGTGGAGCTCTTTGCCAGTCCAACTGTCTGCGCCCCTGCCACTTGCCTCTTCCCTCCCCTTCTTGGGCTACCTGCCCCCAGCCCCTCAACCCCTGACCACCTGTCCAGCTGTCCCACTGAATGGCTGAATAATGCTGAATGCTGAATGCCGAATGCCGAATGAATGCTCTTGTTGCTGCGTTGGCTGCGACTTTTGCGAGTGGAGCTGGCGTTGGAGTGTTTGGCGTCTGAAGGTCTACTTGGCAGCGGCTTGGAGTGTGTTGGCGTTACGTTGGCCCCTTCGCACTTGGCCCGCATTTCCCCACTGAAGAGAGATACGAGTGCAAACAAGCAGCGCAACAGCAACAACATTCTGGGAATGCGAAGGGGGAAGATCGAAGCGGGGATGCTCTGAAGTGATAAACTGTACTTATTTGATTAAAAGATTTCCTTATCATTCGGATAAAAATTCTATGCTAATGTTAAAGGAAAAGATGACCTTGATTCGTGTAGAATCAGCAGTTGCAGATTGCAACCAACACCAGGAAAAGTGAACAATGCCTGCAGCTCAACCATAAAAGGAGCTTTCCCCATCCCCCTGCGATTCCCTGCTATCAATTGAAAAGCCCGCTTGCGTGCGACAAAGTTCGTGATCGACCCAGTGGACCCGATATAGGGCATGGGTACTCGTAGGGGTATTTCACTGTGGATGGTGTGAAGAAACAAACGGCGGCTGCTTGACTCGCGTTTTCAGCTCTTGGCTCGCGGCGCATTTTCGAAAATAATGGCTGGGCACATGTGTGCCGGCTCTTGGCGAGCACAACTTGGCTCACGATATATTGACACTTGGCACATATGGCATGCAGAATACGGCCGAGCAGAATGCATTATGGAGCTGCAGTCGGGCATTTGCATAAGTGCAAGCTAATTAATTCAATTAAGAGTCAGTCAAAGCAATCTCCGCCGGGGCGGTTTCACTTTCGTGGCCAGCAGCTCTCGATTCCCAGTGCTCGATTTTAGATTCTGGGTTCTATATGCTCGATTCCATGGCCCGGAATGATTGAGCACTGGCGGAAGTTGTTCTCGTGTTGACAACGACAGCGCGCTTATCGCCATGACGATTGACTGGGACGCAGATTGACTCTGATCGATGCGATCGGCAGGTACAGCTGCAACCAAGTGCACATGCACATGCAGATGCCAATGCCGATGCCGATGTCGATGGCGATGCAGGTACTCCGAGCTGGCCGGGATCGCGGACTCCAACACGACTCGCGGCCGCTGCTCGGACATGGGTTTATGGCCAATCTGCTCGTCTATAACTTTGCAATCAACTTTTATCAGCCAGCGTCCAGAACGTGCCTCCGCTAACGTTTCTATTCACACGCTGCCGTTCCGCGCGGAACGGGATTGAGCCAGTCCCAGTGCCACAGCCACTCAATCTCAAGATGTGCAGTTGGAAAAGCGGGGGATGCCTGCTGCAGTAATATAAAACATCAATAATAATACAGGTAACACCTTTGCATCACATACTGTATCCTACATTACTGTTTCACAGGCTGAAAAACATTTATTACAAGTGGTTTTAAAGGGTTCGCGATCCCTGTTTCTGCCAGTGCACGCTCCACTCCGCTGCAGTCAATACTCCGCTGGTGTGACTTTGAGCGGTGATAGATTGGCCCACATTCGGTGCGATGTAGTTGATTCAGTTGATGCTGCAGAATCATGCTGCTGCTGGGCCAGAGGAAAATGCAGTTTCCCGACCAAGTTGCAGTTGCATCACTCAGCCGTCCCCGTCGTCCGCATCATTCGTCGTCGCCAGCCTGGTAATCTAACCAAATTACTGTGCTGTTCACAAACACGTTCTCTAAACGGTTTCATAATAACAACGCGCTCCTCAGAAGAATTTCCAAAGCGGCTGCTTCTTTCTGGCTTTCTGGCTTTCCGCCGGCTTCCTCTTCCCATGGATTACATATCTCGCTGTATATCTATATAGCCCGGCGTGCTTCGGTGTGTTGGTCTAATGCAAATTGCAGTAATAATTGGCCCATTATGCCGCCGAACACGAAACAGAGCGGGACAGCGCGAGAACAGGACGAGGCATCTGCAGTAGGTCGCCTCCTCAGCGGCCACGCCCACCCTGCCGCCTCCCCACAACGCCCCCTTTCACGCGACAGGAGGAAGCGGCGAAGGCCACTTAATTCCGTGCTTTCATGCCTAAAAGTTGGCATTAGACGCGCTTACACCAAACCAAATATGGTTATGATATGGTCCGAGGGGGCGGCGAGGGGTTAATGGGCCTTAACCCACGGAGGCTGGCAAAGCAGAAGAAGAAGAGGAGGAGGAGGAGGAAGGAGAAGCAGGAGCACCGGGAGCAGATTGCATTGAATACTGCGCTCATTAATTAACCGACATTGCAAATTAATGCCTAATCAAATTTTATTGAATTATAAACCAGTCGGCACTCGAAATGCCAAAATGCAGAGCCGAATGAGAGATGGGCCCGCGGGAGGGGGGCAGGTAAGCTCCTCTCGTTGCTGGTAATTAATGTGCAGCAAAGCGGCCAACGGGCATTAAAATTAATTTGATTTTGTCAAAGGCAACAACATGGGAAGCGCAGCGCCGGAGTCCCAGACTCCCAGTCCCAGAGTCTCCATCCCAATCCCTCGAACAACCTGACAAGTGTCCGCTGGCTAGGCGAACTGCACAGAGAGAAAATACGTGTGACCTTAATTTTATGTCTTGAGTAATATTCACAATTCGAAAAGATACCAAAGCAGTTAATGCACACAGTTCCAAGTTGAGTAAAGGCTCACCCATATAGCTTAAGCCACGCGAATACTCTCTGTGTTCCCCAATCCCATGTCAAAGCCACAAGTGATAGACCATGCGATTGCCCTTTCTTTGGGAGTCTTCAACTTAGTTACTATGAAATTCAAATGAAAGCTGTAGATCGTGTAAGTCCACAATCCTTCTCCCTTGAATGCCAGCCTCATCCACTCGGACACCCTGCAGGGTATCAGGCAACTCCACCGCCCGGCCAACAGATCTTTGCTATTTTAATTAACTGCCCCGTCTGTGCATTAAAATTGTTTTGACTTTGTTAAATGCTTGCAAATCGCAAAGCGACATGAAAATTTACGCGCCAGCCGAAGAAGCGGCCCCAGATGAAGACGGAGAGGCAGTCGGCTAAGAGGAATTGGCGTCCAGAGGAACTGGGAGCGGTAGCCTGAAATCGATACCGCAAACATATACTCTCCTTAGCCGCCGCATTCGATGCGGACATTTGCCATTTACCATTACCATGCGCTATTCGCTGGCTGTTATTCCCGGCGAGCTGTTCTTCCACCCTGCTGACCGAGCCAAAATACCGCAATCAGGCAAATGGCCAAGTGGATGATGCACTGCCTCATCACCGGCCACGATCCATCCCCGGTCCGACCTCGGACCAGCCCAGCCCATTCTCAGCGCTGTTCTCCTGCCACTTGGACACTGGGAAAAATACCTACCTTGATGAGTGGCAACTAAAAGCTTTCGTCGGTTGGAAAAGAGGCGTCTTGGAATGACTGCTACACAAGCAAACTAGTTCCCACAACTGGGTCAACATTAGAATACTCTCGTGACGGACTCGAAATGTTTTCCCAGTGCAGAGGCATTGTTCTTGCCACCCAGGGAAGAACGCGCAAATGTTTGCCAATGTAATTAAAAACGCATTTGCGGTAAGGAGCAGTGAGAAGCGAGCGTAGGCCGATCCTCCAGGAGGAAGTGGATGCCGGGATGCTGAAGGCTGGGCGTTGGATGCTGGCTACATTGAATGCCCCATTGGTAATCGGCGATCAGTGCAAATTGTCGTGAATTAGTCGGCCACTCAAATCTCTGGCATTAGCTCCGGTCGGGTCCCGAGTCACATTAAAGTGCCGCCGCCCGCTTTTGGGGTCGCGATCGGGAAAGACCAAAACCGGAGAGAGCGAGAAGTAGTATCACATCACACATACGCCATGTATGACGCGAAGTCGGAGGCGCTGCACGCGTGAAATGTCAAAAGCTAAAAATGCCATTTGCCGTGCTCCAATCACTCGTTGGCCTTTCGGAGGTCTGCACTGAAAGAAAATTTAAATTAAATTTAGATGGGTGTTGTGCTCTACAATGGAATATGATAACTTTCATTACATTTAAAGTAAGGATTTTTAGTAGACTTTACGACATAAAGTGGTCTCTGTAAAACAAAGTATTTATTTATTTTTTAAGTTCTAATAGTTCTCCAAATGATGCAGCACTTACAAGTGCTGCTTTTGAGTGCGATTATTAAGATAAATTAAAAAACGAGTTTGGATTGCTTGTCAACTGCAAGCTGTGCAAGTGTAAATTAGATCGAATGGCTGATAATATTTTTTCTATGTACCACAAGATAATTTTTTGCTTGCCAGCGTGTAGGAAAAGATGACGACAAGAGGGACGCCGGTTAAAGTGCCCATGATTTTACTCATTGTTGTCATTGTCCGCAGCCTCACACGCAGTCAAAAAAAGGAAATAAGAAACACAAAACACAAAGCCGTCTTGCCTGCACATGCAGATTGGCCAAGAGCGATAGCCTTTTTATTTGCCTTTCGTCTGTTTTCGGTTTTGGAGCCCAGTTTTCCGACTTGCGGAATGGAGTTGTTGCTGTGCCCCGGCGATGGTGCCCAAAATGCTCGCCAGATGAACAATTTCCTTTTCGACGCCAAACCACCGAACCACCAAAGCACCGAGCCAACAAACCACCTGACTAGCATCGAATCGAGGGGTCCACTCCGAGCGGCTGAGGCTTTTCCCGTGGCCCACGCTCGATGGCTCGATGGGTCCACCGTTTTTGGTTCGTTTGCGGGCCTCGATGAAAAATTTGCAAATTGGAATTATTTATTTATTGATGCATGTTTGATGTGACGCTTTTCTGGAGGCTCCGCAGCTTCGAGTCCCCTTGTGCACATTCACTCTCATGTAACGAATCGCTTTTCAGCTGCGGGCCACAAATGCAATCCACTGACTTTGTGGGGCTTTGCGGGGGAAAGGCGGGGGCAGGGAAGGCACATGTGTGAGAAATTGCTGTTTGTTTTATGCAAATGATCATCGCACTGCAGCTGGATTCGCTCTGCCGATCGCCGTTCCGAATTTTCGGCTGGCGCAATTAAAAACCGAAAGTGTGAAGGAAGCTTTGAAGGGGGCTGTGCAGACCAGCATAATGGACCGATTGGTCGCGACTTTGGCGGGAAAGTGCGGGCGAAGGAAATGGCGAAGGGATCGGATTAGATTTACTTTCTCGGTGCCCCAAAACTAGATAACGAAAATGACATTAACCTTAAATTAAACCACTTTCAGTATTCAACAATTTAATTTGATCAACTGAACAACACTTGAAGATCTCACAATTGACAATTTATATTTCGGAATCGAATTCGCGCCTTCCAAATATCACAAGTAATTTAAGCTGTATGCAAACGGTTAACTTTTGGGGAAGCAGGGGGTGTACTTTACATAGCACCACTGTCAATGTCATGCACCTCGACCTGCTCCATGCCGGGAATCGCCTTGACCATCTCGTTCATCTCCTCGGCGGAGGGTCCCTCGCGGCTGGAAGCGCTCATTCCAGCACCACCCATCCCGCCGAGGCCGCCCATTCCTCCCATGCCCCCGAACCCGCCCATTCCCCCCCATTCCGCCCATGCCGCCCATTCCCCCCATGCCGCCCAAGCCACTCAGGGCTGCCAGCTCCTCCAATCCTCCCATGTTCATGTCCAGCCCGTCGTCCATTCCCCCGCCAGCTCCTGCCAGTTTGGCCAAGAGATCGTCGTTGCGGGACTCCGTGATCACCACCTCGGTGGTGCTGAGGAGGGAGGCCACGCCGGCTGCGTCCGTGATGGCGGTGCGCACCACCTTGGTGGGGTCGACGATGCCCTTCTCCACCAGCTGGCAGTACTGGTCGCCCATGGCGTCGTAGCCGAAGTCACCGCTTCCGGCCAGAACCTTGGCCACCACCATGGCGCCGTCCACGCCCGCGTTCTGGGCGATCGTCTGGCAGGGCATCCGCAGGGCGTTGCAGACGATGTCGACGCCCTTCTGCAGGTCCGGACTGGCCACCTTGAGCCGCTGCAGGTGGGGAATGCAGCGCAGGAAGGCGGTGCCGCCGCCGGGGACGATGCCCTCCTCGATGGCCGCCCGCGTGGCGTTCAGGGCGTCCACCACGCGGTCCTTCTTCTCGCCCACCTCCACCTCGCTCCCTCCGCCGATGTGGAGCACGGCCACGCCCCGCGTGAGGGCGGAGAGGCGCTGGCGCAGACGGTCCCGCTGCTCCGGCTTGGTCTGCTTGTCGGCCAGCTCGTCCTGGATTTGCTGGATGCGCATCTCGAGCAGGCCCGCCTTGGGAGTGCCCTGCAGCAGCATGGTGCTGTCCTTGGTGACCACGGCCTCGCCCACCTGGCCCAGGTCCTCCAGCCTGGCCTCCGCCAGCTTGCAGTAGTTGACGTCGTCCCCGAAGATCGTGGCTCCCGTGGCGGCGGCGATGTCGCCGATGAGCTCCTTGCGGTGGTGGCCGTAGCTGGGCGACTTCACCGCGCACACCTGGAGACCCATCCGCAGCTTGTTGAGGACCAGGGCGTTGAGGGCCTCGCCACTGATGTCCTCGGCGATGATGATCAGGGGACGACGCTGGCGCAGGGATTGCTCCAGTCCCTTCACGATCTCCGACAGGGCGCTGATCTTCTTCAGGGAGATCATCACGAAGGCGTTGGCGAACTCCACCTTGGAGCCCTTGGAGCTGTTCACGAAGAACGGGGAGACGAAGCCGGTGTCGAAGCGCAGGCCCTGGATGATGGTGAGCTCGTCCTTGAGGCGCTTGCCCTCCTTCACGGTAATGGTTCCCTTGGGACCCACTTTGTCGGTGGCCTCCGCTATGAGGCGGCCTATTTCGGAGTCCCCGTTCGCCGACAGGGTGGCCACCTGCTGGATCTCCTCGCGGGTGCCCACCGCCTTGGACATCTCCTTAAGCTTCTCCTTGACCACGTCCACGGCCATCATCACTCCCCGGCGGATCTCCACGGGATTTGCGCCCATGGTGATCTGGTTGAATCCCTCCTTGGCAATTGCCCGCGCCAAGACAGTGGCCGTGGTGGTGCCGTCTCCCGCGGACTCGTTCGTGTTGTCGGCCACGTCCTGGACCAACTTGGCGCCCAGGTTCATGTGCTGGTCCTTCAGGGCGATGGAGCGGGCCACCGTGAAGCCGTCCTTGGTGATCTTCGGCGAGGTCCAGGCTCGCTCCAGGATCACACTGCGACCCTTCGGACCCATTGTCACGGCCACGGTGTCCGCCAAGATGTCAACGCCCCGGATCATCAGGGCCCGCACTGCGGGTCCAAAGCGCACCTCCTTCGAATACATCCGCGTGAAGCAGCGACTCGAGATGACCGCCTTCGACACGCACGAGCGAAACATTTTTGTAAAAAACTTCAACAATGGGAGCCTTAGAAGGTATTTATCTGTGTAAAACTCTTGTTTCGATTCCAGCAAAGATGTGAGTGCAAATAATGATCGTCGAGACTGATATGGCAGCACAAACTGATAGAAGTGACGAGCCAGGCCTACTCTCAGTTCACGTTGATAAGCGAGTGATTCCCATCTCCTATGTCTTTCAAATGCTTGTTACTTTTTCGATTTTAGCTTGACTCCCAAGTGGCATGCTACAAAAGTGGTTTCTTGCCCAAGCAATACTCAGAAATCATAAAAAACATGGGAAAAGTTTGATAAAATCATTTAAAAAACTTCGTTTTTGGTCTCTATCTCGGTAAGTACTGATCTAAGTATAGAATGTCACACACCGACGAATTCGCAATAAAATTCTAAGTCGGGTGGCATTCACACCTAAAATATGGAAACTTGACAAATTTTCGCAAAAATGACGATGTAACCCCTTACCAAAAAGGCGAAAATGTACCAAAAATTAATTTCTTTTTAATCGTCCAAAAAGTGATTGGGCCCGTTAACTTTGGTCATAAGGGGCTCGAAACTGTGTTTGGTTCCGCTGTAAGTCACTTATTTGTCTTATTAAAACCGAAAACCACTCAAAATAATGGATCTTTTTGTTTACCAAAATTGTCAACAAATCATTTCCAAATTGGTTTTTATCAAATAAGTAAACTATCAGTAAAATTATAGTTAAGGCTTTTTTTATTTTTTAATTCATTTTTTATTTTATTGTTCTTTCTTTTAAAATTTCGTTAAGTTTGTTAGAACCGCTTGATTTTCTCGAGCACCTATTAAGCTGCTCATTTGTCTAGATGTTAAATATGCTTTCAGGCAATTGCCACTTTTCACAACTTGCATTTGTCTGGCGCCTGGCCGTCTGCGATCGAGACTCTGAAGTCTTCGACAACGGAAGCTGGGCCTTCTGTTTGCCAGAATAAATTAGCGTGTGGCTAATAAGCTCCAGCATTCTGGGTGGAGTCTGCCCATTTGCGGTTCTGTTTGGCTCCACGGGCTGACCCACAAACAAGAAAAGCGTCTGCAGATTTCCCAGAACTCTGGACTCTCAGCGAAGGATGGTTGCATTTTCCTTGGCTGGCCGTTCCCATTTCGAATGCAGCTGTCAAAACTATTTTGCTGCCTACTGCAACCGAAGAAATTCACACATTTAGCTGCAAGCCAAATGGCAAATGGAAATGCGAGTTGGTTCAGAGATGGGATGGAAATGCTGAATGCATTTTCACTACATACAGTGGCACTCACTCATTTTGTATTAGAAATATTGTAAAATTTAGTTGAGTAATCAAATGGGAGCTTCAATCTAATAATATCCAAATAATATTAAAGGCAAAATAAACCTTGAAGCCGTAATTAGAAACATAATGAAATATATAAAATTCATTTCTGCAATGCACTTTTCTTTTTCTCCCTGTGCTTAAGACCTGGTCTCCATTGGATCTCCGGAGTCGGGGTCGAAATCGCAGGCTGCTTCCTGCCGCCTGACGCGATGATTGCCATGTGCAAGTGGAAGCCCAGTAGCCGGGGCTTGTGTCGAGAGCCCGTCCCCGATTTCTGGGGAAGGGCGGAAGAGCTGATTGATGAGGCATTTGCATGTTCGACTTTCTGGGAAGCTGCTTCTCCGCCTCCTCCTCCGCATCCCCATCTCTGCGAGCTGCGCGACATGTGAAAGTGTCCATCGGTTCGGAGACCACCTGGTGAACTGTTCGATGATCGAAACCATAAACCGTCTGCAGGTCTACTATTTACTTTCGCTGAAAAGCGAGCCTCGATCTGTGATTAATTGCGGGTCTTCCTCGGGGATTCTCCAATTGATTTCCATGTTTTTTGTGGGCCGAAATTAACCCACTGACCGCTGGCCGATGATTTCTTATTTGGCTTCGCCAGGCCGACTCTGGCCTGGGTCTGTCATTAGGCGCGGATCTCGGCGAATCGGCAGATGAAGTTGTTCGGGTAATTGCGGAGCAGACGGCAAAGAAAGTTTTAATGAGGAACGGGCAGACGGCAGACTTCGCGGTTCAATCTGGCCATTTGCGTAAGTGCCAGGCCAGACGGAATTCCAGGACCTGGGATCTGGGCCAGCCCAGTGGAGATTGAGCTCACGGGTTCGACCAGATGAGCTGCACTCAAAAAATTCGCTTTTTGATTTTGATTTACTAGCCCTATAAAAAACAGAGGTCCGTATAAAACTGTTTCTTTACATGTTTACGATTATCCTCTTAAGGAGTGTATCAAAAACAATTTCCAAGTTATAGCGCATACTTGAGTGTACTCTACTTGTTGGTAAGTATTTTTGGATGTGCATTGGGGCAGCTACAACCTCCTCTCAATTTAGCCTTTGCTCCCAGTTTTTGGACTCAACTGAGGCACCTCCGCGGCGCTGAAACGCTGCCCCTCATATTGTCACGTACCGGGCGGTGTCAAGAGTGCATGAAAATCGTTTGCCGCATTGACTGTAATTAACTTTTTGACTCGATTCGACTGCAGTCAGAAGCTGGGGGCTCTGTCCGACCGGCCACCGTGTCGTATGAGCAACGGGCACCGTTCCCACTCTTTCGCGAGGCGGACAGCAGGTGCTGCACTGAGAAAAATCACCATGAAGAATCAATGTTGGGGATAAGTACAAATAAGAAACAGTCGAAGAAAATGCTGTTTGTCAATCTTTAGGATTGGATTTTGTCTAAGTGTAGGAGGCAGCGACTCACATGAGCAACTTGATTTCGGTGGCGGTGCAATTAAAATTCCTATGCGGTCCACCGATCGAGTGGCCAAAAGGAATGCGTGCGGCGTCCAATTCGATTTGGATTTCAATTTGTGTTTGTTTATCGGTTCGTAGACAATGCACAAGCATTGGCTGGTTAATAATTAAAATTATTTAGCATCGGGGCTTAGCCGCGCTATCTATCACCCGCAGCTGACTGGCCAAATTGGCTGTTAGTGGGAAAACAACAGCCATAAAAACGTACCACCGACTAAAGTTAAACATCGGTAACTGCCAAACGGCAGACTGTGTGGCAGCAACGGTGGCGAACAATTTGCATACTCCGTCAAGCGAAGTTTGCGGCTCACATTGCATACATTAAGAGGAAAATGTCAGCCGAAGGAAACATTTTAGGTGAGGAATGGGTGGTATTTAACCCAGCTTTTAATTGAGCATTCCAAAGCTGGTTTAATGTTACATTTATGTGGTGCACAACTTTGTTCCTGAAGTGAGCAAGTCTTCTGCCGAACAGTATCCACCATCTCATCCACCAATTCGTTAGGTCTCATCGGTACGAGTGTCGGACTTGTGTGTACAAGAGAGCTGACCCGGGGAGTCGGAGTCATCGGAACAAGTCGGCACTTCACACGCCGCCGTGGCAAAGACAACTTAATGCTTAATACTTATTGTCGCGCCTTAATCTAGATACACTCTGCACTAACAACCAGCGACTAACAATCCCAGCCAATCTGCAGCTCGTGCTCGTCCGGCGAAGACGAAATTGAGTGGCAAATGTTTCCCTCTGTGGCTTTGCTGTGCCTCGAACGCTTTGTTGTCACGGCTGTCGCCCCTGCTCCAGCACACATGCCAAGAGCCGCTGGCCGAGGCTGTCAGTCTCGCTTTGACTTCCACTCCCGCTGCCAAAAGCCAGGAAAATATACACGGAAAATCCAATCCCAGTCGGACTGTAAATCTGCATGCGCGTCGCGGTGTCAAAACTTTTTTAAACAAAATAATTAAATGTGGAGAGGAGGGAAGCCCCGGTAACAGCGCATAAATAGTTGCATGGTTTTCCGCCCCTCCGAGCCCCAGGAAAACCGCTCTCGAAAGCCCCCTTCGACTCGCCACAAAGCTCATGCAAAGAAATCCGCTAGAAAGTCATGTTCGTGTGGTGCAACTTCGAATTGAAGCTGCAGAATCAGCCGAAAAATGTGCCTGCCATTTCCCCTTCCCAACTTTATTCCCCCCTTCAGAGGTGAGCGCGTGATTTGTCCACTCACAAATGACTTCACGAAAAAGAAACAGAGAAGCTGAGAGAAAACCTTCTTTCGTTATTTAACGAAAGGAATTGTGTTGGGACTACTCATGTTCCTTTGGTTAAAATGAGGAATTGTGTTAAAAACCGAGGTTAGAAATAACTTGCATGTTAGTATTACCTATCTACAGAACTAACTTTGTGTATAATTTCTTTCTTTTTGCACTGTATCTACCCCCGATTCAGGAGTCACGCGACCATCTCCAATCGAGAGACTTCTGCCTGCTCCCAGCTGCATAATAATTTATGATCGCGTCCAAGATGTGGGTTAATCGTGTTTTGGGCTAGTTTTCTGCCGCAGCTTGTCTCTGTGCCGAGGCTCCTGTCCCCCGAGAAACCCCTTCTTGCCCAATCCGAACACAGTGCCGAGATTGCTGCTGGTTGGTTTCTGCGCTTTGGCATGTTCTTCACATCCAATTACTGGGTCAGGGACCTGCAAGTCCTGATCTGCACTCGGCAATTTCCACAACGAGCTACTCCCACCCGAGTTCCCCTCCCACCTCCCACCGAGCCCACCTAGCCCACATAGCCCACTTTTACCCGCTCTCCGTCAGTCAGCCAATTGCAAATGGGGCATTTAATCCCGGGGAATGCGTTTCAGGCGTCTCTGGCCACGCACGATTTCCAGGGCAATTAGCCATGGATGCCTTGTGTCCGAGAGCCAATTGGCATTTTGTGGCTTTGTTCTGACTCTGATGAGCCGCCAAAAAGCAGTAAAGAATCGTTTTATTATCGGGCGGACTGCGCTGCGGAGGTGCTAAGCCCCTTTTTAAAAAGTCTCCCTTGCGAGAAGCAACCCGTGCACTTGCAACCAACCGAGTTGAGCTTTTCTTTCAGGTTAGTCCACCACAAGAGAGCAGAGAAAATACGCTTCTTTAATATTATTTGAAGATATGCTGATATGTGCTTTTATCAGTTAATCGCAAAGAGTAAGGTTTTAAAATTTGCGCTATTAAACTTTAAGCGGTTTCCAACTGACTAAGCACCCTGATTAAATGCTGATTCTTTGGAGATCTCCACCAACCCGATCTGCGAAGCAGATCCCACTGCAGGCAGG